CGTTTTAACCCTGCCCAGTTTTTTTTTAATTGAAAATCGGAAAAGGCTAATCTTAGTTAATCCTAACCATTTTGGTATCATGTATTTAATATTAAACTGATATTAGATATTATACAGATCAGGTCGTTAAATCATCCTCCCGATAACCCGAAATACTTTAAAGGTATTTTAAAATGTTCCGGATCAAAGAAAAAAAATTTAACTATTTTTGAATCAATAACAAAAAAAACTATAATTGGTAAAAAGATAATGTTTTTTTTTGTTTACATTACTATAAACTAAAAATAAGACATGATGATCTTTTTTTTTTTTTTATTGTTTCATATAAGTTCGAGAATTTGTTACAGAATTTGAAATATATTATTATTGATGGTTGAAAAAGAAGGAAAAGAATGGTGAAACATTGTTGAAATCGGAAAGAACGAAATATTTATATCATGTTTTAATAAAGAATCAGTAAGTGGTTTAACTCACTCGTCATTTTTTATTTTTCATTTATGTATTTTCTTTTGATTTGATTTTTTATAATGTAATTTAAATAATATTTTTATTTTATTTACCTACAGTATTGATCTTTACGTTGACGTGGGAAGAATCCGTACGTGGTTTACTCGCTTGTCATTCTTATTTTCTTTATCTTCTTATAATCTTTACGTTGATGTGGTGAAGAATCCGTACGTGGTTTACTCACTTGTGATTTGAATTTTTATAAAGTAATTTAAAAATACTTTATTTATTACCTATAATAATAATCTTTACGTTGATGTGGAAAGAATCCGTACGTGGTTTACTCGCTTGTGATTTGAATTTTTATAACGTAATTTAAAAATGCTTTATTTATTACCCATAGTAATAATTTTTACGTTGACGTGATGAAGAATCCGTACGTGGTTTACTCGCTTGTGATTTGAATTTTTATAATGTAATTTAAAAATACTTTATTTATTACCTATAATAATAATCTTTACGGGAAAGAATCCGTGCGTGGTCTACTCGCTTGTCATTTTTTTTTCTTTATTTTTCTTCTGATCTGATATAATTTAAATAATACTTTATTTATTACCTATAGTAGTAATCTTTGTGTTGATGCGGTGAAAAATCTGTTACTCACTTGTCATTTCTATCTTTCTGATTTGAATTTTTAATGTAATTTAAATAATACTTTATTTAAAGAAATAATATAAATATTTATTTTTAAATTTCAGCGCTAATTGAGAGACCTGGAGAGCCCTATAGTGAACAAATTACCTTCAACAATAATCTTTATGTTGATGTGGTAAAGTAACTGTTTTTCCTTTGGATTATAACGTGAATATCTAATATTACGATAATTTTTATATTTTCTATTAGAATTTACTGTCAAAATTTATTCTTTAATGTAGGTTTACTGTCAAAATTTGTTATTTAATGTAGATTTACTGTCAAAATCTGTTATTTAATGTAAGTTTATTCATATTTTATAACGTTATTATCACTTTCATAACTCGATTAACAAATTTAATAAATTTAATACTTCTCAAACAAAAAATCATTTTTCCAATTGAACAACTATAGTGAAATAATGTTTCCAAATTAATAACCATAGTGAGATTATATTTCCTAATGAACAACTACTATAGTGAGATTGTATTTCCAAATGAACAGATACTATAGAGTTTGTATTTTTTCTAAATAAACAACTATAGTGCATATGTAATGATCACAAATTATTATGGTAGATGCAGTCACTGCATGTTGTTTGCATATGATGTGATATAATCTTTCGCCACTTATAATTCAACGTTATTAAAAGTTCTTTTGTGAGAAATGTGTAACTATGTAATTTATTTTAGTGAACAAGTCCTGTCGTAATGATACCACTGATTCCGGTGTATGTACGTACATCTTTCAATTTTTTACAATTTAACACAATAACACTCCAAATTATTGTGTACCTTACCTTATTTTTGTTAATTTACAATGATTAGAATGATGGTCGATATTATTTGATCACAGATAGATATTCTATGATTGTTAATATCCAAGCCTACGTAGAGGTAAAAACGCTAATATTGTGTTAATGCCGCATATCACATTGATCAAATATTATATTTTTTTTTTACACAAAATTTTTATTTTTTTAATTAACATTGTAATTTAGTCTGAGATTTTCTTGGCGACAAAGAAGAACCATCCTGGCTACTTGAAATATTTAGAAAATTGGATATTATAATCAATAAAACAAATTTACGATTTTCAACGTTATTAAAGAATCTTTTGTAAGAAAATGTGTAACTATGTAATTTATTTTTAGTAGACAAGTTCTGTCATCATGTATCGGAGTCATCCCGGATCATGTACGTGTATGTACAGTATGTACATCTTTCAATTTTTTACAATTTAACACTGTGTACCTTACCTTATTTTCGTTCATTCTCGTTAATTTATGATGATTTAGTCGATATTATTGATCACAAATAGATGTTCTATGATAGTCGATATTAACTCCAATCAAGTATTATATTTTTTTTTACATAAATTTTTTTTTTAATTAACATTGTAATTTGAGATTTTCTTAGCGACAAAGAAGAACCATTAATTTAACATCCTGGCTACTTGAAATATTTTAGAAAATTGGATATTGTAATCAATAAAACAAATTTACGATTTTCAACGTTATTAAAGAGTCTTTTGTAAGAAAATGTGTAACTATGTAATTTATTTTTAGTGGACAAGTCCTGTCATCATGTATCGGAGTAATCCCGGATGTACGTACGTACATCTTTCAATTTTTTACAATTTAACACTCCAAATTATTGTGTACTTTACCTTATTTTCGTTCATTCTCGTTAATTTATGATGATTTAGTCGATATTATTGAATATTGATTACAAATAGATATTCTATGATAGTGTTAATATCGATATTAAACTTCAAGCCTATGTAGAAGTAAAAAACGCCAATTCCGTGTTAATGCTGCATATATAACATTAATCAAGTATTATATATATATTTTTTTTTACACAAAATTTTTTTTTTAATTAACATTGTAATTTAGTCTGAGATTTTCTTAGCAACAAAGAAGAACCATTAATTTAACATCCTGGCTACTTGAAATATTTTAGAAAATTGGATATTGTAATCAATAAAACAAATTTACGATTTTCAACGTTATTAAAGAGTCTTTTGTAAGAAAATGTGTAACTATGTAATTTATTTTTAGTGGACAAGTCCTGTCATCATGTATCGGAGTAATCCCGGATGTACGTACGTACATCTTTCAATTTTTTACAATTTAACACTCCAAATTATTGTGTACTTTACCTTATTTTCGTTCATTCTCGTTAATTTATGATGATTTAGTCGATATTATTGAATATTGATTACAAATAGATATTCTATGATAGTGTTAATATCGATATTAAACTTCAAGCCTATGTAGAAGTAAAAAACGCCAATTCCGTGTTAATGCTGCATATATAACATTAATCAAGTATTATATATATATTTTTTTTTACACAAAATTTTTTTTTTAATTAACATTGTAATTTAGTCTGAGATTTTCTTAGCAACAAAGAAGAACCATTAATTTGACATCCTGACTACTTGAAATATTTAAAAAATTGGATATTGTAATCAATAAAACAAATTTACGATTAAACATTCTTTACGATTCATAATTCAAAGTCTTTTGTGAGAAATGTGTAACTATGTAATTTATTTTTAGTGAACAGGTCCTCTCATCATGTATCCATGTATCGGAGTAATCGGGGCGCTGGTTCTAGATCATGTATGTGTATGTACAGTACGTACATATTTCAATTTTTACAATTTATAATTTACAATGATTAGTTGATATGATTTGTTGATCACCAATAGATATTCTATGATTAGTGTTAATATCTATAGCATATATCATCGAACAAGTATTATATATTTTTTTTTTTGCACAAAATTTTTTATTTTTTTGTAATTTAGTCTGAGTGTTTCTTAGTGACAAGAAGAATCATTAATTTGACATCCTAATTACTTGAAATATTTAAAAAATTGGATATATAATCGATAGAATAAATTTATAGTTAATCATTTAATCACGTATCTAAATTTTTACTTGAATTCACACTTTCATTGCTTAAGAATGAAATTATAGTATCAAAAAAATGTTGAGATAATTTTTCAACGATGGATTCACATTGACCTCGGTTTGCTTTATTTTGGAATAAGGTAATGATTTCATAATTATTAGATTAATATAATTTTTTTTTCTTTTCTTTTCTCAATTATGAAATATAAGAAACAAGTTGACGAATTTATATATTTGGCAAAAGGAAGAACAAATGCATCTTTTTTTTACCCTAGCTAATACCCGTTCTAAGGAACAGGAAATTAGCAATTAAACAACAAGAATAGAAATCATAATAAAAACATCTAGAAAAGCTGCAAAGAATATAATTGAGAGCCTTAAACCAAATACAATTCTTTCATTATGTCAATATTCACCAATAAAAACATCTAGAAAAGAATTTGAAATAACCATATTTATATTTACTGTATATGCCAATGTCCAAATCCTCCATTATGTCGAAATATCCAATTCTTTTTAGGTTAATACAAAATGTATATCATACTAATCTTTTTTATAAATCGAATCTATGTTAATATAATGGTATTCAGTTCTTGTTATCATTTTATTCGTCAATTTTGATTATACACTAATACTCTATTCTTTTTAAATTTAGTACCGTCTAGCGAATATGTAATATTTAGAATTCTTAAAAATCAGCATAATTAATAGTTATTTTAAATCAAATTTAAAAGTCTCATATATTAAATTCTTCTAATACTGTCAGGATGGAAGTTGTACCCGGGGTACTTTAAGCAGTGCTTGACGATAATATGTAGCGCAACAACGGTATTTTAATCACACGAATTCTTAGATCTTTTATCTTTTTGTCCAAAATGAGCATAGGAAATATATTAAATATATTATGATTTTATCAGACTTTTAAATTTTTATATAGTAGTGATGACGATGATTATTGTGGATGAATCAACTAGTTTTACATAATACAGATTAAAAATTTTTATTCAGCAAAAACATTTTGCTTTCACACATATATATATACGATATATTTTGTTCTTGAGATTTCGATTTCATAAAGAATCTAAATTTTTAACTTTATTCAGTTATTCAAAAAATTAATTAATAACATATTTATTTAAAATTAATAAAGTATGTAAAACAAAAAATAACAAAAGAAAATTTAAAAATGCGGGATGAAATTTTATTATAACAAAGAATATAAGGGGTGTACAAAAATTCTAGGTAAATAATTTACGATTAATGATTTTCAATAAGTTCAATGCACCACTGTTAACCATTGTGTGAAGAAAAAAAAATGTATATTAATATCATTCATATATAATAAATAAGACAAAAATGCGAGTAATGAAATCTAATAAATACCTCATCATTTTCTTCAGGCTTTTTGTCCTGAGAAATAACTTCTTGAAAATTTTCATTATAAATAGTGATTTGATATTCATGACTACGTAAGAAAGAATTATCTTTTACGTTACGAATGTTAATAATATCACCAGATCTTACGTAAGAAGAGTCATATTTTGTATAATTAATTCTCTGTGCCATCCAATGATAATTAAATTGTGAAGTTCTTGAAGGTGTAGAACAATATACTACAAAAAAAAAAGACAGGAAAAAGATGATGAGAAATAAATATTAATAAAAATTCCAAAGTCAGAATCTTTAAAGGCTACTAACCTTCGACGTGATCGGCAAAATCACTGTCTGTATAATCGTGATAAATAATTTCATTAAGAGATTCACGTCCAATGAGAGTTTCTGTAACTTTATGTTGCAATGAAAACATATCATTATAGGAGAGTAAATCACGAGAAGCCTTAATAAACCATAATGCATCTGAATCTGGTAACGTTTGACCTGCAAATACCTAAAAAGAAGTTTTTTTTAAAAAAAAATGAATAAAAGATTTGATTTTATCTACATATTATTTTGATTTTGATTTTGATTTTACTTACTATTTGCTTTCCACTTCCAGTTTGATGATATTTTGTAGTGGAGGATAGATACTTTCCAGTTTTAACATGTTTTATGGCAACACAAGAAGCATTCCTAATTAATTGTGATTCTTCTTCAACAATATTTTCAAACATTTTAATTAAATCATCTAAAGAATTAATCTTATCCATATTTCTTCTATTAATAAAAGTATTTCTAAAAAAATCATTTGGTAAAGTATGAAAAAGATATTTTTTCTGATCTTCTAAATCAATGATTTCAGCATCAAAACAAAGTGAACGAAAATCTGCAACAAATTTCGCCGTATTACCACCATCACGTTCTGTAACATATTTTAAAAGATTTAATTTTCTTTGAGCAGAATTTTTAAATACTGTAAATGAAATATTTGATTTTAATGCTTCTATAAGATCATCCAATGTTTTGATTTTTTCAGGATTTTTGATCGGAACATCAACCATTCCAATACAAATATTTAAAATATCTTTTTCAGTTTTTATTTGTTTAAGATAACAAAATGAACGAATTTGTTTAATCCACATGTGTGGATGATTAGTTCCATTAAATCTTGTAGGTTCCATAATAATAATAATAAATAAATAAAAAATATATATATAATGAAAAAGAAAAGTAACTTTGAAAACTTTTTAAGAAGGAAAAATTTCAAACTTGGTATAAATGGATTGTGGAAGATCGTCGATCATCTAAAAAGATTGACGTAGTGTTCATGTGAGCTAATATATTGTATCTTATGATTCTCATATTAAATCTTCAATCAATTTATCTATTAAGGGTAATATTGGCGCAATTTGTTTGTTGTGCACCTCTTATATCTCGTTGCCCATCAATTTTTTTAATTTAAATCGGGCGGTTTAATGGCCCAAGTCAATGACATGATATTTGCAAACCTACATTAATAGTTAGATTGACTTAAAAAGGCGCAAAAAATTCTACCACGGATTTTTAAATGAGTCTAACTGGCTATTGTTAATTGTCATCATCCTTAAATAAATCTTATTAAAATTCATTCTCCTAGATTTTATTATAAAACTAACATATGATCTTTACTTTTTAAGGTTTCACTTATTACTTTATCCAAAATTTAGATAAAAAACCTTTTCGAATTAATATTAGCACAAAGAACTTTAAGGATGGCATATGTATTATTTATAAATAAAGAACATTGTATATTTCTGTCAATATCAACCCTAAAAAGATAACTTGCACCATTAGATTCAATAAAATTATTTAAAATTTTGGAACTTTCCAAGAAGTTGGAAGAGTTGATGGATTGCTTCAATTGCGTAATTAATGCTATATTAAACCATTCAGGCCCTTTAAATTAAAATGGATATTTCAAAATAAGATGGGACGGTTGAATAGAACAAATTAGAAAATAATATTATTCATTTGCTTATTTTGTTAAGTCTCATTCCAATATATAAAAAATATTAATGGATTAATTAATTAATTCGTTAAAATAACATATTACTTACATTCTTGTAAAAGTCCTGAATGACAACGAGGTGATATCACACGATTTCTTGCTAAATCTAGCCGTGATGCTGAATTAAGAGATTAAGACATACAATATTAATTCTATGAATGATTTTAACACAACTTTTCCGATAATATTGTATTGGAATATAAGAAATGGTTCTTGTGTTACTCAGACATGTTGCAACATCAAGTATGTAAATTAGATTTTATATATTTATAGGTAAATTGTAATTTCAAATTCACGAATATATTATGTCTGATATGCTTTCTATTCTTCATGCGAATAGCAATATATTATTATATATTGTTATGGGTTTATGCGCGTTCTGTTTTAAATAGTGATGAATAATGAAATGTTTTTACAATAATTACTTTACGTAGTCATGATTTTACGTTTACTGTGAATAATGATACTTAGCTCATAAAGAAAGAATTGGAGGTAAAATGTATTTTAAATTTATTGACTCGATATTTAAATCAAAATATTGTTGTATTGCCATATCGAACTTATCAATTAATTATGATTGAATACTCTATAAGATACCACGATGTTTATTGCCGATTTTCATAAATTCTAACGCTGAGATTTAATAAAATGCTGATGAAGATTTTCTTAGAAAAATAAATGTATTGTTATGCAAAAATGCGAAAGAATATTATAAACTCAATAGACCAAAATATTTGAAAAGAATAATGAAAATCCATCCATCGTCTGCTACAGGAGTCATCTGTAATAATAAGTAATACATAATTACATATAATGCTAGGTGATTCGCATTTCTAATTAATATCTATCTGCTATTTTTTTATTCGCAATTTATTTTATAAGGATAAAATTTCCAAATCATTCTAACCAGTTTTGGTAAACAAAAACCAATTTACTGAAGCTTTTTATTAAAATTTTCTGACTTGTTATCATAGTTTGAACATTATTCTGATTGGTTACATGAATAAATCGCGCTTCCGCCTAGTGGAACCGTTCCTTAAAAAAAAGGAGAAAAAAAAAAATTTTACATTTTGATTTTACATTCACTATATGCCATACATCATTCACATTTGCGGCTTATTATCAAAATGCTGAAATTTAATTACTATAGATCCGACAATACATTTATATAATAATATCATAGCACGTTTTGACGGTTTGCTAATTTATACGCGTATTTTTTATTGTTAATTGTTGACATAGTTAAAAACTTTGGTTCGCGGATATCAAAATTTGATAGTTAAGAATTCCTTTATTAATAATTAGACGAAAAAAAGATAAGAATTAAATGTGAATAAAGTAATAAAGTACATATTATCTATAAATAGGAATAATATAAGCTAAAATATCGCGTAAATATCTCGAAAATAATAAAAATAATGTGATCATTATTATATTTTATGGTTGAGGGCAATTACACTCGCAATTACAATGGGTTCGGCAAGTTTGATTAGAGCAGATTGTACAACAACAAGCATTAGAATTTCCACAACCGGACTCTATTTATTATTTTTAAATGAAAAAGAATTAGTATTTCACTTTTTTTTAAAAAAAAAAAAATATTTGAATAATTTGAATAAATAAATAAAATAATTACTGCAAACAATGTCACCACATACGGTTCGTTTATCTAATAATTCAGGAAAAGGAGCAGGAGTAGCAGTAGTAATAGTAAAAGTAGTCAAGAGAGTCAAAAAGATTAAGAAAAGTGCGATTTTCATTTTCTTTTTCCAAGATTTCTTTTTGAGATTTCAATATTTTTTGATCAAAATTACCTGGAAGTAAACGTATATTTATAAGACTTTTTTTTTAATATTCAGTTACTTGTTGAATATTAATAGAATGTTACATTTTTTTGTTTTGCAAACTCGAAATTATAAAAAAGCATTTATTATTGTCCATTTTGTGAATACATATTCAGTTAGAAAAAAATTTATTGTTTTGAAATGTTAGCAATAAGATCACAGGATTAGCATGGGTTTAGGATAAAATCGCTTTAGAATAAAATTACGGTTACGATACGTTACCCTATTTTTATAATACGGGGGATTATACATTATTCGCTTGGTCAGGTACTTTTCATTATGTTAATAAATTAGGCTAAACTGCTGCAGAGTTGTGATCTTCAGTTCAGGTTAAACTTGACCGCATAAATAAATATTTTAGGATTAGTGTAAAGAGAGAGCTCAAAAGAGGTAGTTAAGAGAGGTTGAATCTATGTAATGTTGCAGCGGTGTTGTAACATTTCTGTAATGGTTATATATGTACGCATCACCTTTTTTAGATTTTATAATTTATAAGTATTGCATTATTGTTTTAATTTATTCGTAAAACAAAAAAAAAACATTTAATATAATAATAATTTTCCCTATTCAAATCACCTCATCAATATTATTCAAGACTATTTTGTTTGTATTGACGGATTACAATTAGAATATCGCAATTACTTATCTACAACTGAAGTATTATAGCGAAGACTTTAGATAAAGATACCAATTTAGGGGGCTACGTTTTTTGTCGTAATTTACCAAAAATAAAATTCCTAAGAATTGAAAATTCATGTTCAATCCAGCACTTTGAGAAACTATGATAAAGCCGATATTTGAATATACGGTTTGTTCGATTCACAAGTTGACCACCATATATATCATATCCAGGCGCGTTATATATTTGGTTTTGATTGGTAATCACGCGGTTACAAGAATTTCCCTGCCTTGAATTACTTCATCGAAAACCAACTTCTTAATGGTTACAGAATGTAAAAAAAAAAATGCAAAATATACTGTAATATCATTGGTTTCCTGAGTTGGATCGATCCTGAAGGTCTGACACTGTTAAAGGTCTGCCTCTTATACACATCTAGATGTGTATAAGAGACAGGTTAAAGGTTGACAAATATTTTTCAGATGACTAATAAGAAAATAGGACGTTATGAACGTTCAAAATTTTAATAATAAAACAAATAAATAAAATTGCTCTAAGGCTCTAATTTATATCCATCATCATAATGAATTTATACAACAAAAAAGATAACATGTTGTTTAGACCGAATTACGGACACAACAATTTAATAAATGATCCACATTACTTTACAGTTTTTAAATTTTTTTGCAGAAAAAATTCTGGAAACGAGATTGTGGTATTATAAGTTTTCTTGCCAAATTTTGTCACTCTGCTGTCATGATGGCGAAACAAATGATTTAGAAGACATTATTTTTTATTATAAAACTCACTCCAAAATGGATTTACTCAAGTTACATTTCTTAAGCAAATGAATTATGATGTTAATTTCATGAAAGAATCAGTACAATTTGATAACTAATGTTGTATTGGAATATTCAACTTTGAGATAGAATCATAGAAATCGTTCTCGTGCTTGTTCTCTGACATTTTGCAAAGTATTTATCAAGTACTGCACTATACAAACATTTAACAAAAAGATGCTACTTATAAAATTACTACTATCATATATCATGGGTATTCTGTTCCAAATAGTAATACTCAGTGGAGAGTGGTCTGAAATTTATGGGAATTTCTTAAGGTATGTTAATAACTTTAGAATCTATTCAGATAGTAAGAATTTAAGCCCTGTAAAAAATGTTGATCCGTGTTTATATTTCCATGTTTTTCCCGTGAATGTATGGAAATTTTCATCCCTCTAACGGATATCCGTGGATGTATCATTTTCACGGAATTTTTATGAAAGCCACGGAGAAATAATGGAAATATTCGGATAAAAATTTTTTATAAGGAAGTATTCTTGATCACAAATCATAATACTTATCAAGAGGTAATAACTCATGAAGAAATAAAAATAATTAGTTAAGTATTTTTATTTTTTTCTCTTCATTCACTGTACTCAAAAGTCAAAAAGCGTTATACTTCTACTTTAAGCTAAGTACGAGTTTCCGCGCGAATTTGTTAAGTTTTTTTGCGGATGTTCAACAAGTTCAATACACCACTATATATAAAGCGAATCAAAAGATATTAATAATGATTTTTAAAATAGTAAAATCTAGTGTGTACGAAAAAAAGAAAATTTTTTACTATACTGTACCTGATCATTTCCTCCAATTCTGTGGTCATGAGTAACAACTTCCTGATAACTTTCATTATCAACGGTAAAATATAAATCATGACTTCTTAAAAACATATTTTTGGTACGTTCATGCTGGACATTATTATGATGAGGATAAACAAAAATATCATTATCGTCATTATCTAAATTATTACTGTCATTATTATTCCATTGAAGTAAAATGATATCTTGAGATTTCACATTTCCTTTATTATCATGATTATGATAATGTTTAAAACTCCAAGGAAATTGACAATTATTGCCACAACATACTATAGAATAATAAGATTAATTTTATTAAAAAAATTTTAAAAGATTTCAGAATACACCACAAATAAACTAACCTTCAAAGTGTTTACTTGTAGGTGATTGTTTAGATATGTTTGTATAAAAAGATTTACTAAGAATCTTATGTTGTATTTGAATTGAACTTTTGTAATTGATAGGATTAAAATCGAGATCACGAGAAGGATGAGAAGGAAAATCAAGTTCTTCATCAATATCAATATCATCATCATCATCATCATCATCATTATTAATGGACCATAAAGCGTTTGGCCCGAAATCACCACAGTAAATCTATAAATACAAAGATTATATTAATAAAAAATATAATTATAATATTATAATAATTTTCAACTAACCATATAATCAAGACTTGAGGCTTGAATTTGGGTTGGTTGTTTTAATGTAAACATTTCATGTTGTGGGAGTCGTTGGTTATGAAAGATTGGGGTTCGACCACCTCGTAAACCTCGTGCACTTCTTCTGCCCAAGTTAGGTTGTCTATAGTTATGTCCACGGTGCTGGTCATAGTAGTCTTGGTATTGTTGGTTATGGTACTGGTCATGGTCTTGGTATTGTTGGTTAGAGTGTGGATACTCTCTATCACAACTGGATAAATATTTTCCTGTACTAACATGTCTTAAAGCTATGATGGATCCATTTTTGATTATTCTTGAATAATCTGAAACAATTTCTTCAAATGTTCTAATTAATTCATCCGTAGAATTAGCATCCTCATGTTTAACAAATTCATTTTTAAAGAAATTGTAAGGAAGTGCATTAATAATATATTTCTTTTGTTCTTCAATATTTGCGATTTCCGCATCACGACAAAGTGTACGAAAATCGGTGACAAAATTTACGGTATTGTCACCCTCATATTCAGATATATATTTTAATGCTTGTAATTTTCTTTTACAAGAGTTTTTAAAAACTGTAAAAGAAATATGATTTTTTAGTGTATTAATAAGTGTATCGAAAGAATTTATGTTTTCCGGTATATTAATTGTAGAATCAATCATCATTATTGCAAACTTAAGAATTTCTTGTTCATTTGTAATTTGTCTAAAATTACAGTATACTCGCATTTTTTTAACATATTCATTAGGATGAATTTTCCCATTATAAATGGGAGGTTCCATTTTGAAATAAAATTAAAAAGAAATAAAAAGGTAAAATTTTATAACGGGCTAAAGTTGCCGACAATTAATTTATCCTTAATAATATAATTGGCTAAATGATATTCTAATCACAATACTTAACATCACGTGATACACTTTTTAATATTGTTGCGTAAATCATAATAATAAAACACCACATTACTATTACGGGTTTTAAATTTTTTTGCAGAAAAAATCCTGGATGCAAGGTGAACTGTAAGCTTTCTTGTAGATTTTGGTCACTCTGTTATGATGGTGAAATCAATGATTTAGAAGTCATTATTTTATAAAACTCACTCCAAAATGGATTTAAGTTACGTTTCTATAAACAGATTAATTATAATGTTAATTCTATGAGTGAATCAGTACAATTTGATAATGTTGTATTATTGAAATATTCATATTGTTCTCGTGCTTGTTCTCTGACATTTTGTAATCGAAAAGTATTTATTTATCAAGTACAGACAATCAAAAAAAAAAGCCACTGATAAAATTAATATATATATTATGAGTATTTGGACTGAAAATTTTATGGGAATTTCATAAGCGAAGGTATGTTAATAACTTTAGAATTTATTCAGATAGTAAGAATTTAAGTAGTCTTGATCACAAATAATAATACTTATCAAGAAGTAATAACTCATAAAGAAATAAAAACAACTAGTTTTCAAAGTCAAAGTGCGTTATCCTTCCACTTTAAACTAAGCACGTGTTTCCATGCGAATTTATTCAATAAGTTCAATACACCACTAGATATAAAGCGAATCAAAGATATTAATAATGATTTTTAAAATAGTAAATTCTAACGCGTACGAAAAAAAAAGAAAATTTACTATATTGTACCTGATCATTTCCTCCAATTCTTTGGTCATGAGTAACAACTTCCTGATAATTTTCATTATCAACGGTAAATTTTAAATCATGACTTCTTAAAAAAATATCTTTGGCATGTTCATACTGGACATTATTATTATGTAGATTATGAAGATAATTATAAAAATTTATATTATTAATATTATTATTATTCATAATATTATTAACATTATTATTATTCCATTGAAGTAAAATGATATCTCCAGATTTCACATTTCCTTTATTATCATGATTATGATAATGTTTAATACTCCAAGGAAATTGAAAATTATCGCCACAACATGCTAATAGAATAAAAAGATTAATTTATTAAAAAATTTTTAAAGATTTCAGAATGAATCACATATAAATCTAACCTTCAAAGTGTTTACTTGTAGGTGATTGTCTAAATATGTTTGTATAAAAAGATTTACCAAGAAGAATCTTATGTTGTAATTGAATTGAACTTTCGTAATTGATAGAATTAGGATCGAGACCATAAGAAATTGGAGCAGTAGCTAAATTATTACTACTATTAATGGACCATAAAGCGTTTGGCCCGAAATCACCACAGTAAACCTATAAATACATAGATTATATTAATAACAAACACAATTATAATATTATAATAATTTTCAACTAACCATATAATCAAAACTTGGGATTTGGATTTGGATTGGATTTTGTACATTAGTAAATGGTATATTTTGCGAGAATTGTTGGTTATGGTTTTGATATTGTTGTGGATACCTCTTATCACAACTGGATAAATATTTTCCTGTACCAATATGCCTTAAAGCTATGATGGATCCATTTTTGATTATTCTTGAATAATCTGAAACAATTTCTTCAAATGTTTTAGTTAATTCATCCGTAGAATTAGCATTCTTATGCTTAACAAATTCATTTTTAAAGAAATTGTAAGGAAGTGCATTAATAAGATATTTCTTTTGTTCTTCGATATTTGTAATTTCCGCATCACGACAAAGTGTACGAAAATCGGTAATAAAATTTAAGGCATTATCGTTATTATTGTCTTCCTCATATTCAGATATATATTTTAATGCTTGTAATTTTCTTTTACAAGAGTTTTTAAAAACCGTAAAAGAAATATGATTTTTTAGTGTATTAATAAGTGTATCGAAAGAATTTATGTTTTCCGGTATATTAATTGTAGAATCAATCATCGTTATTGCAAACTTAAGAATTTCTTGCTCATTTGTAATCTGTCTTAGATTACAGTATACACGCATTTTTTTAACATATTCATTAGGATGAATTTTTCCATCATAAATAGGAGGCCCCATTCTGAAATTCCGAAACAAGTTAAAAGAATAAAAAGAATTAAAAGGTTGTAAAATTTATGATGAGATTTTAGATCAAGTTTGACAGATTATGTATATGATAGTTATCATGATATTCTAATCACGATATTTAAACATCACATGATGCACTTAGTTTATTTAATCATTGTTGCGTATATTATATCATATAGTAAGAGGACCATTATTGATTGAAGACATTTTATTTTCAGATAAAGGTACGATAAATCAGGTTTCTGTTGCTTTTTTTTTATTGATTTTTTTTGATTTATTAAATGATTTATTGTATGTAGTATTATTACCTGAGATGTTGGAGTAACTTCTATGCGGTTTCAAAAATTCAAAGCATTCATCTGGGAAGGAGAGCTGCTTCGAATTAATAATTATGAGAATGATATTATAACCATATCTAAATTCGAGAAAAGGAATCTGAAAAATGATGTTAATAACCGGAATTGACGTTTGTATTATATGTTGGGAACTCTTAATAATACCCAAAAATATGCATGTAAAAGCAAACAATAATGATTACTTGCCTTGTGGTACAGTCAATAAAGTTAAATTTTAAACTTTTGGCTGTTTACTGATCCCATCTCTCTATTGCATCAAAAAAAATTTCACAAACTTTTCTTGACATGTCTTTTAAGTAAAAATGTAAAATATGCAATGAACCCGTAAACCGTGATGATAATTCTAGTTTTTTTCTTAATTTCAAATTTAACAAGCCAAAAATTATATGTGGTGTCACTCTCGATCCAGGATATTTTCACGTCAATAAATAAGCGCGACAGAAAATTTCACGAATAAATAACTTCATTTTTAATTACTCCAATTACTAATTCCAAAATAATTTGTAATTGCTTCAAATGTATCAACCTGAATTATTATTAGGGTACTATGGCATACTAGTAAATAATTGACAAACTGAATAGATCTTTTAAATCGCAATAATTTAATTCAGTTATTTAACAAGCTCAACATCCACAAAAAATGTAAAGGATAAAAATAAAATATTTATTATTTTTTTTACTTTTTTTTAAAATAAATAAATAAATACGTTGATAATATTTACAGTATATGCGTGTACCTGACGATTCCTTGATCATTAGCAATAACTGCTGAACTTTCTGATAATTTTACCATTGACTGTAAAATTTAAATTATTACTTCTTAAAAAATATTATTTCATCATTATTATATTATTCACTGTATTCTTCTTCATTATAATTTTTCATATCCTTCTTAATCCTCCTCATCATTCTCTTCTTTTATTTCGTCATAATAATTTCATCGAAGTAATATTTCCTTGGTATCTTGATTACGATAACACTTAATACTAATCTAAGGATATTCGTTGTAATTTGTTATATTATACTATTAATAACGTTAATTTATTAAGAAACCTAAACATATGTCAGATTATGAACTAACCTAGCGATTTTCATTGAGGACACTTTGATAAATGTTTTACAGTATGTCTTAGCTCTAGTATTCGATAGAATAGAACTAATAAATCATCAATAAAGCATTTGACTCAAAACTACCACAATAAACTTACAAAGAATCACTTATATTAAAAAGTAAAATTTAATTTTGGTTCAAAATAATAATGATGATTATAAATTTAACTGGCAATATCATTATTGTAATTTGAAAGAAAGATAAATTATTAATAGGAAATATAAAAATTGATAACAAGGGTATATTACTCGCTGGATATTAATAGGTTAATAGGATAAATATTTTTTGTGGATATATATCTTAAAACTACGATAGATCTAAACTTACGCCGCTTTCCAAATAATTCAACTAACTCATTTATAGAATTAACATTCTTTCATTAATAGATAAGAAATTTAAAGGAATTGCATTAAAAAAACGTCTCTAAATATGTAATTTCGGCATCATGACAAAAGTTTACGAAATTTGGTAAATAAAATTTGCAGTATCCCCACTTTTACGTTCAGGTATATACTACTTTTTAAAATTGTAAAAGTAATATATCATCACTTGTATTGATATATTAATTGTAGAATCAACATTCAGTATAGCAAATTTAAAATTACAATATATGCGCATTTTTTTGGTATATTATAAGGCGCAATTTCCAAATTTGGAAGTCCATTTTACAGTAAAAGCAAGGATTAGCGAATTTTTGTTACGTTACCTGTTACATTTTTTTCTTTCTAAAAAATGTGTCCTCCAAAATATGATGGAACTATGCATCCTGAAGAATGGATTCAACAAGTTGAAACATTTTGTTTATGTAATAATATAGAGATATCGACCGCTATATTATATAAAAAATTGATTCATCCTGCAATTAAAATTCCTTCTATTGTAAATATAATAACAAAAGATGAAATATTAAATGCATTAAAAGCTCATGCTTCTTTCACTATTTTTAAAGAATCATGTAAAAGAAAATTATTAGCATTAAAACATATTCCTGAAAAGGATGGTGGGGATACAATGGCTTTTCTTTCTAAGTTTCAATCTCTTTGTTATAATACAGAACTTAATGATATTGAAGAAATTAAAAATATTATTCACAAGATTATGATTTCTAATGAATTTTTTAAAAGCGAATTTTCCAAAAGGTCAAAGAAAATTAGTTCAATGGAAGAATTATTAGCATTATTTGGTGATATTATAGAAGATGAAGCAAATTTAATTAAATCTGGTTCTTGTATTGCCTTAAAACATGCTGCCACTGGAAAATATTTGAGTAGTGTATCAAATTTAAATTATAAAACGGGATCATATAGTCAAGCGGTAAGTATATGATAATTTATTTAAAGTTTAAAACATATATAAAGACGTGTTTTTTTTTACTAAAATCATGTAAAATTTGAATAGGTATTTGCTGGTGAGACTTTTCCAGGACCAAATACGTTATGGATAATTACTTTTAGTTCTCAATCTTCGAAGAAATATCCTTATACAAATTTTGCTTTTTATGATGATAAAATATATTTAAATCATAAAATGACTAGCAGAACATTGATATGTAGTGGTCATTATATCTCTCCTTTGTATAGTCATACAGAAGGTAATTAATAAATTTAATCGTGGTATAAGAAAAAAAAACTTATCTAATTATTGAAGGCTTTTTTTATTTTGTAGTAGGTTGTAATATTGGTCGTCATATAGGATATTCCACAGCTTGGAAATTGAAACGGCATGCTAGTTCAACCAATAATAATTGTACATGCGTAAAATCCCAAGATAAAATTATTCTACAAAATGACGATTTTAATAAGGTTTTACGAAGCCATGAACTTGAATTCGATCTTAATAATGAGAAATTTCAAGAAGTTTTTGGACATGACAAAAGAGTTGGCGGAAATGATGAGGTATGTTGTGATATAATTAATTTAACAAATAATGAAGATGTTTGTTAACAAAATAATTTTTTGTTTTTTTAGTGGATTATTGAACTTATTTCTTAAATAAAAAAAAAGTCAACGCGTGATAAACTTTTAAAGGTTCTGAAAGTTCATATCTCTTTTACTATTTTTCAGAGAATCCTGTAAAATGAAAAGGATGTGATGATACAACAGCTTTTCTTGGCTAATTTTTAATCTCTTTGTTATAATGCAGAAATTAATGATATTAAAGAAATTAAAATATTATTCATAAGATTATGATTTCAAATGAATTTTTTAATTATGAATTCTAAGAAAAATCAAAGGAGATTAATTCAATTAATTCAATCAATGGAAGAATTATAAAATTATTTAGTGATATTACAACAGATAAATCAATTAAATGTGTTATTATGGTTCTTGTGTTGCTATAAAATATACCGCTACTGAAAATATTTAAGCAGCAGATCAAGTTTGAGTTATAAACGCGTGCGGCAAAATCAAGTGGTTAGTAAATGATTTGTTTAAAGTTTTATGTTTATTTTTACTAATTTTTAATACTACAAAGCAAAGGATTATTTAAAACCAAAGAATTGATTTTGTGTAGGTAATTGCCGGTAAAACTTTTCAGGTCAAATATGTTATAGACTATTAATTGTAATTCATTTGCACGTTAGGTAATTTAAATATTTTAGTATAATTATCCTTTTTTAAAAAAATCTTATTTAAACAATTATTGAAAGCTTTTATTCTGTAGCAAGAGCATAATATAGGACTCTATTCTCACTGATTGGTAGCTGAAACAGTATAATTTAACTAATAAACGTGCGTACACGAATCAAGATAGAATTTTACAGTATAATAAGGTTTTATCAACCTTAAATGATAAATTTCAAGAGAATTGTGATGAAGTATGTTGTTGATATAATTAATATGTAATTTTTTTAATATTACCGAATTTAAATTTTATTGAACTCATCTCTTGAATATAAATAAATAAATATATATGTATTTTTTCTTATCAATATTAATATATATTAGGTATTTAACGCAAACCAAAAAATTCAAATTAATAGTGATTAATGTTAATATTACAGATATTAATTAATTAGTAAATTCTTTATTAGTGCCTCAATTTTTGGTAAAAAGAATTTTATCAGGCCTTTATTCCAATTTAATTTTGATTACAATTATTTTGATGTTTAAAATTATTTGTCTTGGATCGGTACCATATACGCATATAATAAAATAAATAAATTTCAACGTTTTTTAAGATCTATTATAATAATTAAACTACGATATTATAAAACCTATAATTGAAAATCATAATGAACGATCTAGGTATCACGATATCCAATAAGCTCAATACACCACTAGATATAAATGAAAGAAGAACGTTAACAACTTTGTTTAAACATTTATATATTTACATTCATATAATTATATACCTGATCATTTCCTCCAGTTCTTTGATCATGAGCAACAACTTCTTGATAATCTTCATTATCTTCATTCTTAATCTTAAATTTAAATTCATGACTTCTTAACAAAATATTCTTATTAACTTCAGATTGTTTCCATTGGAGTGTAATGATGTCCTGAGATTTCACATTACCATCATCACTTTGATGATGATAATTTCCAATAATCCAATGATCTTTCCTTTCTTTTTCGTAACAACATACTATAAAGTAATAAGATTATAATAATAGTAACTATTTCGAATGCATGATAAATAAGACTAACCTCTAAAATGATTACTTGTAGGTGATTTTTTACCCATATCTGTGTAAAAAAATTTACTAAAAATCTCATGTCTTAATTGAATGGGTTCACCATAGTCAATGGCAGAATTAATAGATTCAGTGCTAGAATTCATAGACCATAAAGCATTTGGTCCAAAATCGTCACAGTAAACCTATAAAAACATTGTAAGATTAATTCATATTTAGAACCCATAAGTTATTATAACAAATTCAACTAACCATATTAGAAGAACCAAATAGAATAGCAAAAAAACTACTAAAGCTTCTATCCTGGAAAAGAAAATAAATAAATAAATTAGAATTTAAAACTAAATGTTAAATAAAATTCCTACTAGTAAATATTTATTTAAATCATATTAACCCCTGGATAATTTTTATTGCAGCTCGATAAATATTTTCCTGTGACGATATGTCTTAAAGCTACTATAGATCCATTTCTAATTATCCTTGAATCTTCTAAAACACTTTCTTCAAATACTTTAACTAGATCATTCATAGAAGTAACATTCCTTTGTTCATTAGTGAAATTATTTTTTAGAAAATTATAGGGAACTGCATTAAAAAGACATTTCTTTTGTTCTACCAAATTTGTAATTTCAGCATCATGACAAAGTTTACGAAATTCAGTAACAAAATTTGCAGTATCACCACCCTCACGTTCAGTTACGTATTTTAATAACTCTAATTTCCTTTTACATGAATTTTTGAAAATATTAAAAGAGATATGCCCTTTTAATGCATTAATGAGTGCATCAAATGAGGTTATATTTTTAGGTATATCAATTGTAGAATCAATATTCATTATAGCGAATTTAAGAATTTCTTGCTCATTTGTTATTTGTCTAAAGTTACAATATGTACGCATTTTTTTGATATATTCATTGGGATGAATTCTTCCATCATAAATTGGAGGTTCCATTTTAAAGTGTTATTTAATGAGAAAGAAATTAAAAAAATTTCAGCAGGTTTAGCAGGTTTTATTGGTTACAAATTTACTAAATTCGGAACAATCCAGTTTTTGTGTCATGAATTCATTTAAATAACGGGATTAACATATTTTGGTACATTTTTTCCTTCTAAAAATGGATCCTCCAAAATATGATGGAACTATACATCCTGAAGAATGGATGCAACAATTTAAAGTATTTTGTTGCGCTAATAAAATATCACCCTCTGAAGAAAAGTATTTATGGAAACAATTGATCCATCCTGCAATTAAAATTCCTTCTATTGAAAATATATCAACGCACGATGAATTTTTAAATGCTTTGAAAGCTCATGTCTCTTTCGATATTTTTAAAGAATGTTGTAAAAGAAAACTATTGGAGTTAAAATATATTCCTGAAAAGTATGGCGGAGATACAGCGATTCTTCTTTCTAAATTTCAAACTCTTTGTTATAATGCAGGAATAAATAATATTGAAGAAATTAAGATGATAATTTACAAAATTATGATGTCTAACGAATTTTTTAAAAGTGAATTCATAAGAAAGTCGAAAGAAATTAATTCAATAGAAGAATTGTTAAAATTATTTAATGATATAACAGCAGATGAAGCAATCTCAGTTAAAAATGGTTCTTATGTTGCTATAAAACATGCCGCCACTGGAAAATATTTAAGTAGTGTATCAAATTTGAATTATGAAACAGGCTCACGTAAACAAGCGGTTAGTAAAATATTTTTCTTTTTTAGTATTACTATATCTCCGTATACGCCAGCGTTTTTACTTTTAATATATATACTTTTTACCAAAATTACATATTTAAGTAGGTATTTGCTGGAAAAACTTCTCTAGAACTAAATGCGATATGGAACATTTTTGATAACAAAGGTCGATCGAATGTTTTTTATGATGATATTTATTTGATGCATCAACAAACTAGCAGAAGGTTAAGCTGCTCTTCTCATAAATCTCTATCTAATTATTCGGAAGGTAATTTATAAATTTAGTATAACTGTTTTTTAAATAAATAATTGAAATTTATTTTGTAGTAAATACACGTAGCGAGGAGTATACAAGTTGGAAATTGAAACAGTATAATTCAACAAATAATTGTGTATATGTAAAATCTCAAGATAGAATTATTTTACAAAATAACTATTTTAATAAGATTTTACGAAGTCATGAACTTGAATTCACTATTAATAATGAGAAATTCCAAGAAGTTGTTTGTCATGACGAAAGAATTGGCGGAAATGATGAGGTATGCAGCGATAAAGTTAATTTAACGAATAACTAGAAAAGAAATTATTAACAAATGTTCAAACTTTTTTTTTAGTGGATTATTGAACTTATTGATAACCATTTATTTCAATATTTATATGACACTTCTAAGTAAATTATAAAAGATTAAGCTATAAATCTATTCTATAACTTTTTTAAACAAACTAACAACTGAAGATCAAAGATTAGATTTATTTGAAAGACCGTAAAGCAGTACCCCTCATGTATAATATCTCTCATCGCCTAAAATATACTTGAGTTTAGTATGAAGTTTTATAGAAATTTTTATTTTACCATTTATTATTGAAGCGAGACGATGTTTATTAAACGGATTATTTTAATTTTTAAAAAAAACAAATTACAAATTATATAGAGATTTTCCTACATTGTTCTGTAGTAATATAAGTAGTGGTTAAACCTATAAATTCTTCTAAGCGCTTTCTTTCCCAAACTTTTAATTAAATCATAACATTCATTTGCTTTTAAAAAATCTGTTATAAAAAGCCTGCATTAAAAGATATTTGTGTACGATAATTTTGTAACTACCGTTCACGTTAAATCACAATTTTTTTTTTTATTGCGAGAATTTTGAAAATACGAAAGAAATATATTAACTGCAAAATTAATTTAACTAGAAATTGAATGGTAAATCTTTTGCACAATGTTTTATATCAAGTTTATATCAAGTCGTCAACTAATAGATTCTGAACACGATTTATTTGCTCCAATTTTATAAAGCTTAGTAAATCCCGTTATTTTTTTTCCTCCTAAAAAATGGATCCTCCAAAGTATAATGGAACTATGCATCCTGAAGAATGGATTCAACAATTTAAAGCATCTTATTACTATAACAATACAAGCGGAAACGAAGTATATTTATGTAAACAATTGATTCATCCTGCAATTAAAATTCCTTCTATTGAAAATATATCAACATACAATGAGCTTTTAAATGCTTTGAAAGCTCATGTCTCTTTTGCTATCTTTAAAGAATCTTGTAAAAAAAAATTACTGGAATTAACATATATTCCTGAAAAGGATGGCGGGGATACAGCGGCTTTTCTTTCTAAATTTCAAACTCTTTGTTATAATGCAGGAATTAATAATATTGAAGAAATTAAGATTATAATTTACAAAATTATCATTAAGATGTCTAACGAATTTTTTAAAAGTGAATTCATAAGAAAGTCGAAGGAAATTAATTCAATAGAAGAATTGTTAAAATTATTTAATGATATAACAGCAGATGAAGCAATCTCAGTTAAAAAGGGTTCTTATGTTGCTATAAAACATGCCGCCACTGGAAAATATTTAAGTAGTGTGTCAAATTTGAATTATGAAAATTATGAAACAGGTTCAGGTAATCAAGCGGTTAGTAAATATTTATCCTACTTGGTTTTATGTACCGTATACACAAATGGTTTTTTTTGTTAATTATTTCAATGGTTCCATTATATATATTTTTATGTAGGTATTTGCTGGAAAAACTTCTCTAGAACTAAATGCGATATGGAACATTTTTGATAATAAAAATCGATCGAATGTTTTTTATGATGATATTTATTTTGTGCATCAACCGACTGGCAGAAGGTTAATCTGCACTTCTTATAAATCTCTATCTAATTATTCAGAAGGTAATTTATAAATTAGTATAGTTATTTTTTAAAAATAAATAATGAGATCTTTTATATTGTAGTAAGTTGCTATATGAATTACGGGGATTACTATGAAATTTGGAAATTGAAACAGTATAATTCAACAAATAATTGTGCATATGTAAAATCTCAAGATAGAATTATTTTACAAAATAACTATCTTAAGAAGATTTTACGAAGTCATGAACTTGAATTCACCATTAATAATGAGAAATTCCAAGAAGTTGTTTGTCATGACGAAAGAATTGGCGGAAATGATGAGGTATTCAACAATAAAATTAATTTAACGAATAACTAGAAAAGAAATTATTAACAAATGTTCAAACTTTTTTTTTAGTGGATTATTGAACTTATTGATACCCATTTATTTCAATATTTATGTGATATTTCTAAATATATTGTATGAAATTAAGTTATAAATTTATCATTAACCAAACTAAAGTCAGATAAAATTTTTATTAGGTGTATTTTGTTTTTATTTTATGTTAGATTTATTAAGATAACAAATTTAAAATTGTTACTAAAGTACTGAAGATTTGGTAATTTTAATTAAAACTACGTGTTTGAATAATACCATAACAAATAACGAACGATGATTAATTTTTTGCGTATCGGATATTTTTAGCTTATTCATAAAATCCTTTTGTTTTTTAAAGAAATTATGATTTATGAGAAATAATGCATAAAAAAATTTCTTAAAAATCCGAGATTAATTGTTGAAGAATTTAAGGATTTGGATTTAAGTTGATTTAAGTTACCATTCCTATAGTATCAATCACTATGGACAAACTTTTTTGCAACAGGTTTTATATCAGGTTAATCAAGTTGATTAGTAGTCAACTAATAGATTCTGAACACGATTCTTTATTGCTCTAATTTTATAAAAGCTTTAGTAAATCCTGTTGTTTTTTTTTTCCTCTTAAGAATGGATATTCCAAAGTATAATGGGACTATGCATCCTGAAGAATGGATTCGACAAATTAAAGCATCTTGTTATTGTAGCAGTAATATAATCAACGACTTTGTACATGCATATTTATGTAAACAATTGATTCATCCTGCAATTAAAATTCCTTCTATTAATAGTATAGAACAACCAATGCACTTTTAAATGCTTTAAAAGCTCATGTTTCTTTTACTATTTTTAAAGAATCCTGTAAAAGAAAATTGCTAACATTAAAATATATTCCTGAAAAGAATGGTGGTAATACAGCAACTTTTCTTGCTAACTTTCAATCTCTTTGTTATAATGCAGAAATTAATGATATTGAAGAAATTAAAAATATTTTTCAAAAGAGTATAATTTATGACGAATTTTTTAATGATGAATTCTTAAAAAAGGCGAAGGAAATTAATTCAATGGAAGAACTGTTAAAATTATTTGGCGATATAACAGCAGATGAAGCAATTTTAATTAAAAATGACTCTTGTATTGCTATAAAACATGCAGCCACTGGAAAATATTTGAATAGCGCATCAAATTTGAATTATAAAACGGGTACATCACAACAAGCGGTTAGTAAAATGATTTATTTAAAAGTTCAAAAAAAAAAAGGTACTGATTATATATATATTTAATATTACAGGTATTTGCTGGTAAAACTTCTCTAGAACAAAATGCGTTATGGATCGTTAAAAGTTCGAATCAATCGAATTTTGTTTTATATGATGGTGGAATTTATTTGAATCATAAAATGACTGACAAATCGTTGATATGTTGTAGTCCATATAAATCTCCTTTGTCTAATCATACAGAAGGTAATTTATAACTTTATACGATTATTTTTTTTTAAAAGAATCATCTAAAATATTCTTTTATTTCTTTTATTTTGTAGTTAGTTGTCATCCTGAATATAATAGAAGAAACTATAATTATACTTGGAAACTGAAAGGGTATAATTCAACAAATAATTGTATATACGTAAAATCCCAAGATAGAATTATTCTACAAATTAGTGGTAATAAGATTTTACGAAGTCATGAACTTGAATTCAACCTTAATGATAAGTCATTTCAAGAAGTTGTCTGTCATGACGAAAGAATTGGCGGGAATGATGAGGTATGATTTGTTAAGTAATATGTGATGTGATGAAAAAAAAAGAAGGAATTATTAAATTTCTTTTAAATTTTTTAGTGGATTATTGAACTTATCCATTAAATAATCTATTATGGGATGTTGTGAAATTGTTGACTTTCCTGCACGCTTATTAGATAACTAAATTTAAAAATCGGGATATTTACATTTTGTGAAAGTGAAATCAAAAATTCGAAAAATTCGTTAAAAATAATGTTTCAGCCTCAATAATAATGTTTCAGGATTATATTTACATCTCGTTCTCATCCGCTCTAATTTACAATCTGATCAAAAAGAAAATTTTTTAGTGTAATCTCGATAAGATCCCATAATCAAATTCACATGGTTTTTTGATATTTATTCTATCATAAAAAAAAAGAATATACCTATTTATGGTTAATAATAATATGGGTATATATACGATGTAGCAAATTCATATGATTTTACGCGTTTCCTATTTATAGAAAAAAGTTACCAAATTAAATAAAGGAACCACCAAATGAATTTTATATACCATGTATGGTAAATTTAAAATCAAATATTTTCTTATACCGAATTAATAATAATTCATACATTCTTCATACAAGACATTCTCTCTTACATATTTATCTAATACTAAATTAATATCTTGAGATCTTCTTGATGATGAAATTTCAAGATTTAATTTGTTCGTCAATCTTTTCTTACACCCATTTAAAAATTCATCTAAAGATACTTCGTTAAATTCCCAACATGGATCAAATCGTAAAGTATTTAATTTTTTAGGAATATAATCTGATAAATATTTTAAAATATCATTAATTCCGCAAGAAGTATCTTCTCCCAAAAATCTTAACTTTTCTAATTTTGGACAATTTTTAAATAATACTAATAAATGATTATTTCTAGCTTTTTTAGTTTTGGTACAAATATATCCCTCATATTCTACCAAATTTGGACAAGAATTAATGATAGCTTCACTAAATTGTCTCAAATCCTGTATCCGACTATCTATAAGATAAAGATATTTTATTTTATGATTTTTCAAAAAATCGCAAAAAGCATAATTACTAATATAAGAAAATTCATGAAGGATCAATTTCTCCAATTTTGGAAATATTGCGCGTAAATAATAATTATCATAACATGTATTACTCTCCAATTCTTTCAAATTATTAAATTTTAAGAGGAAAATTTTAGAATTTCCACTTATTTTTAATTTAATAATATTATCAGGATTTTTCTCTTTTATAATATCCTCGATAAAAAACGTTAAATTAGATTTAAAATCAATACTTAGGGACTCCAAAGGAACTTTTTGTACATTAAATAAATTAATCAATCCTTCATTACTCTGATATTGTTGTTCTATATGAAAAGATTTAATTTGTGTACATACTTGTGATAAAATGTATATGAAATCTAAATGTGTTTTTCCTTTATAATAAAATTCTGTGATATTTGATAAACATTTATCACTATCAGGTAAAAATGGAAAGTGAATGATTTTAATCGATTTTGGTACATCAGAAATATCGATCCTGTATATATTTCTACATTTATTCATAAACATCCTAAAAATATGATCTAATAATTGATGTTGATGAAATTCTTTTTCTCTATCTTCTTTATGAAAATATTTTTCTATCAAAAGTGTTATACCATCATAAATTTTTTGAACATTTAAAATTTGTAAATGTGATGGATAATCATATGATGCTTGTCGCAAAATTTCTTCTGATAATTGTAAATTATTTTTCATAAGAGAATCTTTTGATTTCTGTGAAATACATGCAATATATGTTTTCATAATTGAAATGATACGATCATCGACATCATTTTCTGATGATATATTTTCCAAAGGATTTCTCCAAAGAATAGAAATTGCCAATAAACTCCATTGTTTATTCACAAAAATACAATTGTGCAAAGTTTTATAAATGGATACTGATACATTTTCGAATATTTTTAAAAGACATTGTGATGGAAGTGAGACCATCTTTACAATATGTTGATTCGGAGAAAGACTGAGATTATTTATTGCTTTTATGGTCGCACAAACTATGCTAGTTATTATGACGTGCATAACGTCATTTTGATCAATCAGGGTTTTAATTTATTAAATTTTAAAAAAATTTAAAATTTAATTTATGATTTATTAAAAAAATATAAATATTTATTACTGTATCATTCTTGTATAAATTCTAAAGGATTTTCACATAATTCGTATTTGTTATAATTTGATTTTATAACATTTTGATTTGCAAAATTTTCCATTACTAATTCAATATCTAGAGATTGTGGCGTAAATTTAAATTCTAAAACTTTAAGCAATCTAATAGAACATTCTTGTAAAAAGATTTTTAAAGCTTCAACTGAAATAATAAAATTACCTATAATCTGAAACTTTGTTAAATTGATTGGAATAAATGATCCAGATTGTTGTAATAAATTGCTAATATCAACTCCATTTTTAACGTATTCAACATCAGATTTTGAATTGCGTATAATTAAATACTCGAGTTTTGGACATTTTTGAAAAAATGATTGTAACATTTCAAATCCTTCAATATGAAATGGACCATTATAATAATAAAGATTCTTACAATTATTAATTAATATTTCAGTAAACGCAGGAAATTCCTCTACGTTAATTGAATCAGCAAAATTAATTTCCAAATATTCCAAACTTCCATGAGTATTTTTAATCAAGGCACCCAATTGTAATAAAGAACAATATTTTGGACGAATTCTTAATTCCCTAAGTTTTGGAAATGAACAATGAATAAAATTTTCCCAAATCGATTCATCGATATGCATGGTGGGAAATACTTTTATCTTTTCAAGATTCTTACTCTCTTTAAAGAAATCTAATGAATAATCTAATCCAAATAATCGTATTTCAGTAACAGAATGTGATCTTTTCCTAATAACATCTTCAAGAAGAGGGATGTTATTGTTTTTCATATTTATCAAAATACAATCCAAGGGAACTTTTTGTACTTCAATAAGTCTAATCAATCCTCCATTGTCCGTACAACAACATTCTATATTAAATCTTTTGATGTTCCTGCACGATTGAGATGCGAGGTACATAAATTCTGAGGAAAGGCATCCTTTACATGAAAATTCTGTGATGTTGGATAAACATTCTTCGGCTCCTAATAGAAGAGGAAGATGTAAAATTTCATCTTTGATTCCAGCTTTCATAAATATACTAAATCTTCTTAAATTTTTACATTTATTCATAAATAATTTGCAAACAAGATTCATGAATTGTAATTGATGAAATTTTATTTCATTTGTTGCCATATTTTTTTGTTGATTATAATTTTTTGATAACCAAAAACCAATCGCATTATATAAAGATTGGTAATCAAAACCTTTCATTAATGATGAATAATCAATAGACGCCGATTTCAATGTTGAATCGGGTAATTGTAATGCACTATTCAATATTTGCAATTTTGAGTCATCTGGCAAGCAAGAAATATAAACGGTCATTAATGATACGAGTCGACTTCTATTTCGTTCTTTAGAATGTAACCATTCAATTGGCTCTCTCCATAGTATAGTAAGCCCGACCTCACACCATTTGCGATTCACCAAGATACAAGCATATAATGATTTGAAACTGTCAGTCCAATCATTGTTTCTCGGACCAAAATTTTCAAAGATACATAAAAGACATTCGGGTGGCAATCTAGGACTCATTTTAAACTAAGTAGTGTGGTTCATTTAAAAGAGATAATTAACGGATTAATATTATAAATATAAATACCTTATTATATAACTTGCCAAAAAAAAAAAAAAAAAAATTACCATGCGTACGAAAAAACTTTTATCTATATCGCAATTTTTACAATATCAATAATATCACACCAATAAAGCTAACTCTTAAATATTACTTTTTTTTTTTTTCAAGCTGTAATAAAGAAATTGTTTCAAAAAAGTTTGACGGAAAAAAAATAAAAAATAAAAATAAAAACTGCGGGAAAGAAATAACTAACTGTAAACATGAGAAAACTTGTTAGATCAATATTTATTATTACATTTATTACATTTATTACGTCATCACGCCATGGTAAATATTCTGACTAACGTTAAACATTTCCTATTTAAGCTAATTCTAGATTTCTGCGCGCAGCTATAATAATCATTGGACCAATTTTAAATGCAAAATATGAATACTAAATTTAAAATTTTAATTTTCCAGCGCGCGCAATGGCGCAGTGGTTTATTAGTCATCTTACACAACAAAAGTAATGACGCGACGTCATTAGTGTTACTTCCTATTTTAGTGTATTATACGTACTATATGAATTGTTCTAGATTCAAGCTTATAAATGATTTACTGTTACGCAGGGTTAATTAAATTAGGAATCTTATTTCTAAAAAATGACTGATCCTAAAAAATTTAAAGAAAAAAATTACGTACAGTATTTGGAATTTAATTTCGGAGTTAATAAACAAAATTTGTTGATAGATATTGTACTCTGTTTATAATATAATTGTATTGAAAATATAAAAGGTTTTGAAAGCTCATATCTCTTTTACTATTTAAAGAATCCCGTATAAAAAAATTACTAGCATTAAAATTATGATACATCAGTTCAATCTCTTATGATATTAAATTAACTTTTTACCGATTGCGTAATATTTTGTAATTTTGACTGCCGTATATTCGCGATCACATGCAGAATGAAGTATTTCGCGTTGGTCTAAAGTTTTTCTTCTTGATCGTGCTACTATGTACTGGTGCTAGATTGCTAGTTGACTATCCACCCTTTTCCTTTTTAAAACGATTTATCAAATGACAAAACTAATGTTTATGAGTATATACGAATAGTTAGACGAATTCAAAAATTTACATGTACTTTCAATATATCTGATATTAATAAAATGCGATATTTATAAATTTCAATGCTATAACACAAACTGTTATTTTACATTCAATTTAGAATATGATCTTAAAATAGATAGATTGAAATCATTCAAAAGCTCATAACTGAACGGGATATGTAAGCATGCGATAATTGCGATATGGCAAATAATCGAAGGAAGTTTATCACATGTATTCTACCAATACATAATACACCATTCCTCTACCTCTTGGAAGCAACGCTATAACCCAACAAATAGAATTATTAATTTTGTTTCTTTCGAGTTGTTATTTCAATGTAGGCATTTGACATTTATTCATTAATACATGTACAATACTATTCGGGAAGAACACTGAATGATGATGACGCGCCAGTCGCGCCATGTTACGAGTGTGTCACAGTATGCTTAAATTGCCAAATTGCTCAATCTATAAATGATAATCTATTTTTTTTCCGTCTGGTTTCCCTTGAGAAAATTAAAGGTAAGCGTTCGCTTCTTCTTTTAATCTTAGGAACAACATTCATCCATTCTTTTTTTTTTAGGACAGGCTTCCTTTGGTTTTCCTGGACAGACTTAGTAAGCGCTCATCATTATTTTTTTTTTCTATTATTCAATTGACTATTAACAGCAGTTAATCTTTCTTTTTAGATTGGGTAGTTTTAAAAAATTTTCAGCAGCCGCGTGGGATTTCTTGGTACGAACTTGGTAATTGAAGTGTTTCATTGTCATTTTAAAATGCAAACACGCCACCCGAGACGCTCGCAAAGAAGCCAAGTGCCGAAAAATGTTCCTAAAAAAGAATAGCTGTTTAAATGCTATAGCTTCCTTTTTAGGGATGACTGGTACAGCAATGGTTTAGAATACCCAATTTTTTCCTGGGAGGTGGACTTCCTTTTGGAGATAACCTGGCTTCTAAGGATTTAAAGAGTCGACTCGTAAGCGTTAATTTATTTCTTTTGGTTTTTCTGGGATTTGAAAGGACATTAACTTTTTTTTTTTTATTAGGAACGGCTTAGTTGTTTATTAGAATTGAACCATTTCTAAACCAATAAAAATGGTAAGAATTGTGATGTTGAACGGGAATCTATACTTTTAATTTACTAAATTTTTTTTTTCTTTTTTCTTGGTTAATTAAAAAAAGAATTTAAACTCAATGATATCTGAGGACAAAAATACTGCTTGATTTATAATTTAACATAAAAATTATTTTATGTGAACTGCTCCATATGGGACCACGGACAAGTTTCGTCCTCTACTTATTATAACGGTATGGAACGTCATTAGCCTGTCTTGGATATATTATATGAAGAGATCTTCAATCGAAAACCGGACAATATATGTCTTAGAATGTTGAAAGCTCTTTTCAACAAAATTATATTGTTGAAAAGGATTCTTAGAGAGAGTGTGTGTCATACCGTACTTGCCAATCTAGAATATGAAGCAAACAACAGCTACAAGATACGCGCAAGCGTATTGGCTTCCTATAAAATAAATAATGTAAAGGAGATGGAATGCGTATAATAAGCTAAATTTTGGGATAGTATTGCACGAAGAATTTTTGGGATTTTAATATAATGTGCACGTACAACAGTGCGAGAGAAACTGGAGGAATTTAGTTCGAGATTTAAATTTACAAAGTAAATAGTGTTCAGGTCATCGATCAAATGTGGGCTAATAACTTTCTAAACCCAAAAGTTAAAATAGTTAAAAAAAGTAATTTTTACAATTGCCAAAGTATACGTTAGTTGGTCTCGTATTATCTATTTTAATCAATAGTTTATGAAAAATTAGAATATGCGTTAAAAATACAGGGATATAACACTAATCTGGTATGAAGTGAATGGATACAGAACCTTAGGAAATGCCTTGCTCTTGTATCCCAAAAATCAATTCTTCAAGATTAAGATGAATTGTTACTGCTTAAAAAATTTCAAGTATTTAATTCTTCTTACACCAGAATAGTAAATTTCAATAATAATTTGAAGTGCATTTTAAAATAATCAAACGTGCATGAATCATCAATTTTGCAGACGATTCTGCTACTGTGTCATAATTAAATATATAATCGCCAAAAAAAGCAACGGGGAGGAGACGCGCGTTACGAGTAAAGTCATGAGTACGTTTAATATGTGCGTTATAAGTAAATAGACCATGTTCGTCAAGCTGCAGCACTCTCAATCCCACCGACTTATAATGATGTTAATCGGGTTGGGTTTATATCAGTGTGAACGTTATTGTGGTATTCTTTTTAGATCGCTTTGGCCGAGCGATGAGCTGAGTATTTTGGGTACTTTGGGAAAGTTATATTTTTATTTATTTTATTTATTATTTATTTTTTTCTTTTTTTATTTTCTTTCGCCGTATTTTTCTGGCAAAATACGGTAAATTGACATCTTTATTTCTGAACGAAATTTTACAAATTGAATCACTATACTTATTGTTTGGAAATTTCGTTATTTTATTTATTTTTTTATATATCAACAATTGAATGTAATAGCATATTAGCAAATGACATGAAGATTTGGCGGTGATGGAAATGCTGAGAAATTTGTAGTTAGTTGTACACAATTTTTTTAATTTTTTTATTTTGATGTGTTTGATCTGAAATTAACACCCCTGAAATAAAATCTTTAATGGAGGGTTAGGAAAAAATATATGATGTATTTGTACTTTATAATTTCAATTTTAATAATATAATTTAGTGTACAAATTGAATCCTAGTTTGGATTTTCTCATTGTATTCTGCATAAAATAAATACGATCTTTGCATAAGGCTAAAATTATTTAATTTAATGAAAAAACTCATATATCCAATTAGAAGGCCAATCGAACATACGTTTCTTAATCATGCGATAAAAATTCGGGAATGTACAACACGATTCTGAGCCTATCTTCTTGTTTTTCATCCTCAGGATCTTCAATGTGGGTTTTTCGGTGAAGAGATCTATTATCTTTTGAATCTGAGAATTAGTAAATTTTGAAATAGTATCCGCTCTATGTCTTTATGCCCATTCCTATTTTTCGAATAAATTGGTAATCCTCAAAGCTTTCTGTGTTTGCTTATATAAAATTTTACGCTTGGTGTCAGGGAGCTGTTTGATAATAAAATCATAAACTTGTCCTTTTCGCCTTTTAAGCAGTTCTGTATGTGATACATGTCGATCAAACAATCAAACATCATTTATCATCTATTAGTGAATTCAAACTTTATTATTTATTATTTTCAAGAATTTTCGCAAATAATGTAAAAGAATTATTTTTTTATGATATTTTCACTAATATATAATTTTGTTTGCAATTTTGATTTGTACTTATATACATTCCCATTATATTCCACAAATCGCGGTAAACCATCATCTGATTTACTTGGCCACAATCTTTGGCACATATTGAAATAGAAGACTATAGCAATCCATAAAAACCATTCCGTAATCGATCTCTCCAATGATTATGATATGATTAAAACCGAATTCTGCAACACTCTCCATATAATCAGTAAATTCAGTAAATTCTTTTGGATCGCGACTATCATAGGGAAGATCATTAACCAAAAGTAGATGTGAGACGGACTCTTGATCAACAAAGGATAGGGGGTGCATGAGAACAAGGCGACACACTTCATTTGGGAGTCCTTTGTCCACGTATCGGCTCCAATGGTGGTGCCGAATTGGAACGATTTCCCAAAGGATGCTTGCAATGTTTTGAGTAAGGGCAATATTTGAGGCCCATTGCACCTTCATCGCGTTCACTCTCGAGGTCTCATCCATGGTTCATCTAATTCTTCTAATAATATTGTTCTAATTTATTTTTCTAAAACGATAGTATTTAACTAAGTAAAAAAGTTTTTTGAGATGTATTTATATAACATTTTAAGTATATGATTAACTAATTATACGCGATGCGTAAATGCTACCAATGTTACCGATATTTTTATGTGTATTTTATTATGACAATTAGACTTCTTTTGTTTATATAGCTATACCAAGACTTTTTAATCTATTGGTTAATATTTGTAGTTTAATATTAAATTTATGCTACGTATATTAATATATTTGGTTACATTACCGACATGATATTATGACCGACGCAATTTTGCTGGCTTCCATTTTACCGACATGAAAATTTACCTACTCCATTTCACCGAAATGCCATTTACTGATATGTAAAATTCCGAAAATTTTATTAGATGCTCCTCAGTGCTAATTATTTCAAATGCCAAATGCAAAAAGAAGTTTAACGAACTGATTACAAAATTAACTATATAGCACCAATTATAAATAAATAATTATTATTTTATTTTTATTGATTGTTTATTTATTTAGAAAGTGATAAGACCGCTCCAATTAATTTAACATCCTTCCCTCCCCCCCCCTCTATTTTTGAAAATTTAAAAAATGATTTACATATGTTCACATATGTTTAAAGCACCCCTTCTCTTTTCTAAAATTGAATATTCATATGAACAATAGACAAAATGAATACTGATTTTATAAAAAAAAATTTTCTTTATCTTTTTTTAATCAGTTTTGCTGAAAGGATATTTCACTGAAAGGACGTTTCGCCGAAAGTGTATTTTATGAATCTATTTCACCGAATCGCCGAATGGACATTTCGTCGAAAAATAGTAGCGATTAACATTTTTATAAAAAATATTCATCGCGCAATGAAAATAAAAAAATTATTTTTAGAGATCTTTTTTTTTTTTCAGGATATTATCAATTCAACATTTAAGTAACTAATATATAATATAACTAATATTAATTGTTAAAGCAATAATAAATAAATAATTTTATTTTCTTGAAAACATTTAAAAAAAGTAAGTAAAAAAAAAAGATTAATGTATTACCTAAAGCACAATACCGTAATAAATACAAATGAACATACCGTAAAATAACACTTCTCAAATTTTCGCGCCAGAAAGGACGTTAATAATATTTAGTTTGGAATGGCCTAAATACAAATATAAATGATATATTTTTTAATTATCTAGTAAAAAAAATAATTATAATTAAAAAATACAGGATATTATTCAAAAAAAAAAAAAACTTCGAAGGCAAAATTTCATCGTCTTCAATACTATGTCTCATGTCGGGCAAAATGATCCATTGAAATAGTTTCGGGAAAACGAGCGATAAATTTTTATGTCAGTGAAACAGATGTTGATACAATGAGGATCATTTCAGACTCGTGTTGCAAATCTTAAAGGGAGGTGCAGGTTCGCTCGCACTTGTGCTCTAGTCCCTATAAAAAATTTTAAAATTTTATCCGTTATTTCTATAAAAACTCCGTAAAAATGAGCCTTTCACGGATCCATTTACGGAAAATGTAAATAATTTGATAAATTCCGTGAGGTTATTAATTCCGGAAATATGAGCCTTTTACGGAAAAAAGATGGAATGTAAAAAATGGATCGACTTTTTTTACAGGGAGTCCTTTGTTTATCTTGCTTCTCAATTTTTAGCACTTCCTCATCAAAAACAAATCACAAGAAGTCACTCGTCCGAAACGCTTCCTTGTGTTTATTAATTCTCAGTTTTTTGCATCCTGATATTTCCCCAATGTGTCGAATGCTTCGACTTGTTTTGTGGTGTATCTCAGTTGGAAACACCGATTTTCGTTTAAAAATGCACTGCTGATATTTACTCGAGGTCGTCTAATAATCTTTCGCTTCTTTTTAAAATAAATAGGTTACCTGTGTAACACTTATTATTAAAAGTCAATCTTTAAAATTTATGCATTAGAAATCTATCCGAAAGAATTTGATCGTAACACAAGGATATTAAGGCAATATGGTTTTACTAAATAGGTGATCCCACAAGTATGTGGGAGTCATACAGATTTGAACTATGAAAAAAAAAAAAGCTTCGTAACCATATAAGTAAAGTGTCTATAATAGATTCTTTTATACCGAATTTTCTTATTTTCTGAATTTTTATGAATATACCAAAAATGAAATGAAATATTTTTATTAAAAATAATAGTAATTATTTATTAATATTAATTAGGAAATTTTTAAAGAGGTTCAATAAAACAAATAATAATAATAATAATAGTATGATAATATTAAAATTTAGAAAACCGAAAAATATAACGAAAATTTCTTCATAGTATTCATAGTTACTCAATTATTTATAGTATTACCGAACGGCTCGGACGTCAAATTTATTATAACCGAGGGTGGACTAACTTTGAAGTCCTTTATTCTAAATGTTGTTTGAAGATTGTTAGTAACATGAACATCATTAATTTAAAAGAAAAATCCAACTGCAGATTATTAACGGAGGAGTATTCCTCATATGCTTGGGTGTGAATAAAATATTTATAAAATGCATCATTAATTCATCATGCAATCTGGTTAACATTTAAAGTTCAACATTTCCTATTTAAGCTAAATAGAGGCTATAATAAACAATTCATTTGAACTATGAATACTAAATTTAAAATATTTAATTTTTCCAGTACACCAGCACACGAAATGGAAAATGACTCATTTCTTTGTCACCTTACACGACAAAAACAAATGACGCGAATAGTAACACGTTATGCCCATTTTAACATAACTCAATCAGCGACGGTCACAATGGAAGTGCAAAATATGTCATGTAGATTCCTTTATAAAATGATTTAAAGATTACGCAGGGTTACGCAGGGTTACGCAGGTTAACGCAGAATTACAAAGATTCTTGGAGAGAAAATTTTCTGATGTAAATTTAATCAATTTAATCTATATATTCTAATATATCTCGCTGAGAGATCATTGAGAATATGTGTTACAAGATGATTTAAATAATTTGACTCATGATTTCATACAAACTATAATTAGGATGATCATTACACCCACCTTTTCGGTATTTTAAATTAACCTTGTTAAAGGTATGATTTGACGCCATTTGAAATTTTTTTTTTTTTAACGCTTTTTAATTAATATACATAAATACACAATTTATTTAAAAGAAAATGGGACGACATTCGTATTTACAAAAAGGGTTGGTTTTATTTTAGCCTCATTGATTGGTTATTTATTGTTGAACCACTTTGTATACGATTTTTATAAAGGTAAGGAATGATTTTCAAATTAATTAATAACGAAATACATATAAAAACGACGTTCATTCGCGGTAAAAGAAAATCTAAATATTTCACAAAGCAATCGAAGTAACACAAAAAAAAAACAAAAAATATATTATATATCTTACTTTTCTAGGGCGATAAATAATTTAAAAAAAAATACATTTTGACCAAAAATGAAATTACAAGTCATATTTTCCACTCTTTTATTTGTTATATTAATGCTACTTAACTTAATATGTCTTGGATTTTGTAAGTAATTTAATTTTATGAATTAACGTGTAATAGAAAATCTTTCTAAATCTCTTCTTTTTTTTTTAGTTATCGCGAAATATTTATCCTTAAAACGAATTAATTTCGAAATTCCAATTAATAATGTTGATTATGTTTACTTAGGATTGATATCAGTAACAGCTCTTAAAGATGGTAAATTTAAAATTCGAGTGAAATATTATAATAATAATATTATTATTATTTTATTTATTTATTTATTTTTTTTTTTGTTTTTTTTTTTTTGAATAGTTACGTTAATTATTGCAGCGTTCAGAGGATCATTAAATCTATTGAATCCAAGACAACAAATTATTTCACAGATTCTTTTATTAATAGCATGGATTGTAGTTCCAAGTAAGATAAAAATAAAAATTTATTTATATAGGAATAATAAATATCCAAAATTCTAATATATATTCTTTCTATTGATAGCATTATATACAAAATTCGAATTAGACAGACAATTACTTTCATCAATGTGTCCACAACAATACATGATGGTTTGCCTATTACGTAAAATAAGCTTCATATTAATGTGGGCGTATTCATCAATGCTTTTTATATCAATACTAAGCGCTGTATGCTTTAAATCAGTCGATGAAGAAGATGAAGAAAATGATGATAATTATAATGAAGGTTATAATATTAATATTGATAAAGAAAAATTCAAACCACAACCAAAAACAAATCAATTTCATCCAAGATATTCAAAAAATAATAATTATAATCGTTATAACAACGTATCATCAATACATAGTAATAATAGTTCAATACCACCATATAATAATTTAAGTCATTTAAGGTAATAAGGTAATATCACTTATTTATTCGCTTATATTTTATTACATTATTACAGTATTTATATATATTATTTATTTATTATATTATTATTATTATTATTATATTACCTATTTTTTTTATTATATGTATAATTACGTTAATTGTATGATGCTTTTGAATTTCAAATGCGATCGACCACATGGTTTTACATAATTTACACAGATTTATTTTCTTATGTAATTTTTTATATAATAGTGCACTACATTGTGTATTTTTTCATATATATATGTATTTTTATTGTATTCTTTTGAATTTTTTTTTATTTTCTTAATAGATTTTTTTTTTTTTTTTTTACGTAAAAAGAAGCTAAAATCCAAATTTAGAATTCATATTAAGAAAATAAAGATAACATTAATAGAATTATTGTACTATGAATCTTCAAAAATGGTTAATTATCACAATAATCAATCACAATGTAAGACAACAATTACTAAATTTCTTGGCAATGATAATTGATTTAAATTTCTAAATTTCTTTTGATAATAATAATAAGTTAATAACGATCTAAAATTCTCCAATGTTACTAATGTTTATTTGTAATATCATTTAATACCGGAAGTATTACCAATGTTGTAAATTCGACGTGCGTTCCGTGGAATTTTATGAGATTTGTACAGTATTATTAATGTAAATTGGCATAGATTCCGATAGATTCCTGCAAATTCCACGGGAATACGTATGACTGAGTATTACCGGTACAAGCAATGTTTTTTCATGTATATAACTACTAACTAAAAAATCATCCCGTGATATTATTACATGAGATGATAATCCACTCAGAATGCTTTAATATGTAATTTATTCGGAAATAGGAATTTAATAACTGATATGTATTTGTCATAAATACGGTAATTATTATTTAAAATTAATCTAATCATCAATTTAAACACCATACATTTTAAAGTGTTTATCATTTTGATTAGGTTCCCTTTAAACACCGTGCATTTTAAAGTGTTTATCTTCCTTTTTTAGATGAGAGCAGAAGAAAAAAATTTTTTTTTTTGGATTATCCAAAATTTTCCAGATTTTCAAGAAAAAAATCAACCCTAATCAGATTTAAAAAGCATGGCTTTCATTAATCCACACACTTTTTTTTTTTTTAAAAAAAAAAAAAAAAAAGGAAAAATAGCTCAAATATGTAAAACGGGGAGGGAAATCCCGCTTAATTTATTATTTATTTTTATTAGTATAAAATTTTCTATATCATAATTATAAACTCCACGGTATTTTGGAATAAATAAGGAAATAACATGCGCTAGATCAATTTTTCTTTATAAAATTTTGGAATCAACATTTATGTGAAAGGAATATCCGATCTTTACAAGGTAAAAAATTTTCCGATAAATTTTTTAATTGGTCACTTCATTTCAAACATTTTTATAATATAAAAATAATAAAAAAAATCTGAAACGAAAAATTAAAAAAAAGTATTTTTTTTTTTTTTGTTATTATTGAAATGACTTTAATATAATGGATTCTAATAATCTACTGATGTTTTTGATTCTTTTAAGATTATTACAATGTTTGGGTTCTTTGATAACTATTATTATTGGTATGTTGCGATTTCTTTGAATATTGGTAGTCGGTAATATTGGTATCTGATATATATATATATTGATTCGTTAAATTTTTTTTATTTAGAAATACTTCGACATACTGGTTCTATAATCGATTTAAAAAGAGTAATTCCAAAGTAAGTGAACAATAATATAATTTTATGATTTTTGTCAATTTAAGAATATTGTTTAATACAAGAAAAATTCATCATTATTTATTATTATTTTCTTAGTAATTACGAACTATTCTTTGAATATTGCGTAATGAATCTAGGATTCGTTTTAAGTGGTAATTTATCGATTATCAATTATTGCATTTACTTGTATTACTTACTTTTGTAATTTCAAATAAATTAATTAAATTTAATATTAAAATTTAGCCCTTTACTTGTTTCAATTAAATCAACGACGGAAACAAGGACCATATAAATTACATATTTTTGTAGATTGGTAATTATTAATTATAATTATAAAATTCTCTAATTTTTTTATTTATTTTTATAATCTTATTCGATTTTTAAAATAATAGCGTTTTGATGAACGCTTGGATGATATTCGGTATATTACGATTATCTCCGCAATTCGATATGAGTAATATTTTGACTTGTAATCAATATCAATTTAAACAACGTGAAGGATGTATTACATATATATCAACTTTAGTACTTGGATATGTTATTTCCGGTTCATATTTTTTAACGGCAATAATATCCACATGGTTATGGATGGAACAAAAAAATTCTCAACTCAATTCCATTTCCATTTCCAATCCCAATCCCAATCCCAATCCTAATCCTAATCCTAATTCTAATTCTAATTCTAATTCTAATTTTAATTTTAATTTTAATTCCAATTCCAATCACAATCACAATCACAATCGCATTTCAAATTTCAATTCCAATATCAACTCAAATCCTATAAATAGTAACTTAATATCATCATTTGATTCAACTAAATTAGCTGGATCAAAGAATATTAACGTTGCAATTAATCAAGATGATATTGAATTTAATAGGTCTGATGGTACAATAGTAATATTTCGTAAACCTTCACCTTCTTTTCTTAAACACGAACGATTTTCTGATAATTCTTCTAATAATTCTTATATATCGGAATATAGTTTAGGTAGTTCCTTTAGTAGAACTTATGGTTCTATAATTATTCCACGAAAATATTCTGATGATTCTAATATAATAGGTAGAAATCAAATCGTTTCTACTCATAGTGAAAACAGTATTAATAGCAAACGTTTATCATCGACATTTAGTGATAAAACTTCTAGAAGTAGTAATTATGATGGTTCAATTATTATAAAATTAGTTACATGAACGGATTAACGTGACCTGATTACGTGAACAGATTACGTGAACGGATTAGTGAACGGATTAGAAAGATCATATTAATTATATTAATTTCTTTCTTTCTTTTTATTAAAAAAAAAAAGAAAAAAAGGAAGAGAGAAAAAAATTACAAGGAAAAATATAAAAAAATAAAATAAAAAATAAAAAAAAAAGTCTATTATATTACTTTTAACAAATGTAATATTCTTTGGAATAATCAAAAATACCAGGTTCACATACACCTTTTATACTATACCTATACATAATTAAATCATGATCACTTGTTGAATTATTAAGATCAAAACTTAATTTTTTCTTTAATTTCTTTGAACAATCAAGTAAAAACTTTTCCAAAGCATCAGCGGAAATATCCCAAGTATGATTTAAAAAAAGTTTTTGTAATTTTAAAGGTACAAATTCCCCAAGTTTAATAAATATATCACTAATATCATATATAAAACCTTCTTCTTCCTCATTACTAAATATATTTAATGTTTCTAATTTGTTACAATTTTGAAAAAGTAAAGGTAATAAATGAATTGCTTCAGAAGAAAATGGTGCCTCATAATAATTTAAATTTTTACCATATTTTATAACAGTTTCTGTAAGTAAAATTAAATTTTCTGATTCTTCAGATTCTGACCATAATATTAAAATTGATTCAAGATTTCCTTCTGTATTTATAATTAAAGTACAAAGTTGTTTTAATGTTATAACTTGTAATGAAATTTCCAATTCTTTTAATTGAGTAAATTTTGTTTTAACAAATCTTTCCATTACTTTTCTATCCATCATATTTGAATGAATTGTTAAATTTTGTAATTTATTACTTTTACAAAAATAATCTATTGTAAAACTATATCCATATATCCATAAATCTTTAATTGAATGAGCTCTTTTCTTTAAAGCTTTTTCTAATATTGGAAAATTTTCATCTTTGGTGGCTTTAATAAAAATATATTTTGTTAAAACTATTTGTGATTCTATAAGTTCCGCTAATCCTTCGTTATCTTTACAACAACATGAAATATGAAATTCTGAAATATATTTACAAATTTTTGCTGCTGCAAACATAATTTCTGGCATCGTACATCCTTCACACATAAATGTTGTTAAATTTTCTAAACAAATACTTGCTTTTGGTAATGTACTTAAAGGTATAATAAATTCTAATTTCTCTCCTTTAGAAAATCGAAGTCTTTTTAAATAACATCTATCTATAAATAAATTTGCTAATGAATTAAATAATTGAAAATTTTTACAAATCTTATTACTTATATTATCAAGTTGGTTGGTATTTTTTAACCATCCATTAACTGATTTATATAAAGCTCCATAATCAAGACTTTGTAAAAATGATGGATAATCGAATAATGGTTTCTCAAATTTTAAAGGTAAATTAATTCCATCTTCTTCAATAAGTTTAGTTTTAATTTCTTTTGGTAAACATGAAAGATATGTTGATATTATTGGATCAAGTCTATCTTTTTTTTGACTAAAATGTATCCAATCTATAGGTTCTCTCCAAAGTATTGAAATTGCTGTAATACACCATTCTCTATTAATTAATATACATTTATATAAAAGTTTATAATCATCATCCCAAAAATGATGCTCTGGACTAAAATTTTCGAAAATCTTTAATAAACATTCCGTAGGTAATTTCATAGTGTTTTTATTATTATTAAAAGAAAAAAAAAAGTTGGGAGAGGGGAGAGAGAGAAGAAAAAAAAAAAAAATTTTCGTATGTATGCTTCATATTTGTTGCATAAATTATGTCATGTCACGTTTCAAAGAATACTGGATTTGATAATCAGATGCAAATTTTGATAGGTCCAATGGTTTGATTCAATAAAAAATGTATCACAACTCTTTTAAGATCGATATTTTTAATATTTTTAATAAAAAAATTGCTTCGAGCATATAATCTCAGGAACGAGGACTTAACTTGACCCCTGTGATCGCGAATTCGTCTCACAACTCCCAGTCTCCCACCACATGTGATATATATGCTAGATCGTACAGCGGGATTATCCACCATCACAACTGTCGGATTCCCGATAATTCTGATACATTTGTGGAAGAAGAAAGTAGTAAAACTAGTTTAACTCTAAATCTCATACTATAATCAGGATCTACAAGAATAAAAGAAAAAAATGATTTTCTTAAATAAATCAATTAAAAATTCATTTTGATCGGTATAATAAAAAGGAAAATATGAAAAGGATCTGCGTGATTACCATTATTCCTCCTCTTTTTTTTTATTTTTTTTTCTCCTCTATCCTCCTTCTAATGCATATAAAATGAAACGGTCAATGTAACACGAAATCGTATGATTATTAATTTTTTAGATCTTTAACATTTTTGATTATTAAACCATGAGATTTCTCATGATAACCAACCCCTTTAATTATAAGATAATTTATTTCCGATAAAGTTATCTTTTATGGTCCAGGCTCCATATTCTTTTTGACTAATCAATATTGTTGATTGATCACATATAAGACATGTTCTTTTCATTTTTTTTCATATTAATCATTTTCTTTTTTCCTAAGGTTGCTCATACCTTAGTGTTTAACGAGAGCGAACAAAATTATTCTACTCATGATAAAATTCTTCGAATTTTTGTAGAATTTTTTTGTTTGCCAACTTCATAAATTTCTCAAAAAAAAAAAAAAAAAATTTTTATTTTTTTTTTATTTTCTTTAATCATTCTTTCTTTATAATCTAATTATAATTTATATTTAATTTATTTACATTTTTTTTTTTTAAAAAAAAATTTCAATATAAAAAATGGCTGAAACTCGTTACACAGTACTTCCTGATTTTGAAGACGATGAAGGATTCGTTGAAGAATCTGGTGAATTGATACCTAGTGAAGAAAATGAATCTTTTCATTATGATCCTGTAGTAACGACACCAGCTTATCATATTGAACAAGGTGAAAAGGCTTTAGAGAAATTAAAATCAATTGTCAATGAAGGTGGTTGGAAAAAAGCTCTTACGGTTAAAAATACTACTGTTTATACTAAAAATGGAATTGGTGGTAGTGAAAAAGCGCCTATATTTATGTGTCAACATATTATTGAAAGATTTAGTCCTCAATCAATTTTCGCTGTTATTGGAATGAGAAAACTTTGGGATCCTTGGTAAATAATTTCACGTGATTTATTTGTTCAAAAATGGTTGATTGATTAAATTTAGAAATCAGATGTTAAACTAAATATTTTTTTTTTTAGGTACGAAGAAGGAAATCTCGTCGATAATTTAAACGATTCAACAAGTTTAACTTATATGGTAATGCAAGGTGTGGCTGGTACTAGGTAAATAATTTTTATTCGAATTAATTTTTTTTTTTTTTTTTAAAAAAAAAAAAATTAACTTAAATATTTTATATCTTTTAAAAATAGAATTAGAGATTTATCTCTAGTAGAAAAAATTCAATGTACTCAAGACGGAACTATTTACTTTGCGGCTACTTCAGTTGAAAAAGTACCCCATGTTGTTGATAGAATTCGAGCATATCTTTATCTTAATGGCTGGATCATTAAACCAATTTCTTATAATCCTCTCCGTACAAAAGTCACTTATGTACTTCAAACTAAGGTTAATGGATGGGTGCCCTCAGTTGTGGCTAAAAAATATTTAACAAGACGCCCACTTGTTGTTCACATTATCGATCAATATTTGCAAAAGAATGGACCTCCACCTATGGTTATTAGTGCTTCCCCTCCAGATTCAAATCCTCATTCTCGTAATGGAAGTAATGCTTCATTTTTTCCTCCAAGAAATCAAATAGATGTGGCAGATCAGCAACGGAATAAATTTAAACGTGAAATTACTTTTAAAGAATCTCAGTCATCAGATTCACCTTCAATGCAAAACCACAGGAGAGAAATTACATTTGGTGATAGTACTCAGCCCTTAAAAAAAGAAATCGTCAGAAAAATGTCACTTGATTTACCTTCAATACAAACCAACAGGCCATTTTATTCAAATAATAATAATACTATTCATGCTCTATCTTTTAAAAAAGAAATCAACAGAAAAACGTCATTTGATTCACTGAAATTGCACAACATTAAGAAGGAAACTTTTCTTCACTCAGATAATGATAATGATCTTAGTTCTCATTCTTCTCAAGTTACGCTTGATGAGCTACATCCTCTGCCAAAATTGTCACCAGCATCACTAACATCACCATCATCACCAACATTACCAACATTACCACCATTACCAACATCACCAACATCGCCAACATCGCCAACATCACCAGCATTAACACCATTACCAATATCACCAACATCATCAACATTCCCAGTATCACCAACATTACCAGTATTACCAACATTACCACCAACAACATCATCATCACCAACATCACCTAGAAGATTTCAGTTTCCGTTACCCCCTGACCAAGAAACTGTACCCATACAAACTCAACCTACAAGTCCTGTTCAATCTAAACCTTACGTTCCCCCTCCACCATCCTCACCACCCTTATCGCTTCCACCACCTCCACCACCAAAAATAAAACATCCATATGATGATGCTGTAAATGAAGCTGTTACGACTTTTAAGGATAATATTAAAACCTTGGAAGGTTGGGACCTTTATTCAGAAAGTAAGGGTGTTAAAATATATACAAAAGATGTTGCCAATAGATCAACTCCAATTATTCGTGGAGACTATACACTTATTGGAAAGTTTACGGCTGATGACTTTTTATCAGTTATTAAAAACTTAGATATGCGAAAATTTTGTAAGTCATCTTTCATATTTTGATATATTGCACGATTATATAAATTTTAATTGATTTATTCTCAAAACCTCAATAGGGGATGATCGTTACGAAGACGGTGAAAACGTAAAACTGTATGATAATGACAATAATTTGAGCAAGGTCTCGTTGAAAGGAACTTTTCCTATTAGGTGCATTTACTATTAAATGATTTTTTTTTTTATATACATGTTAGTAAACTAAAAGTTAATACCTATGATTGTTTTTTTTATAAAGTGGACGCGATTTTGCTTTATGTGGAAAAGTTGAACGCGATCAGGAAACTAGTGCAATTTATTTTGTTACGACTTCAGTTACTGATCCAGAAATTCCAGAGATTAAAAAATACGTTCGTGGTCATATTCATTTTGCTGGATGGAAAATAATTCCAAAATTTGATGCAAATGGAAATACTAAAGCATTAGGTATAATTTATGTTGTTGATACCGATATAAAACTTGATTCTGTTCCGAGTGCTATCCTCAAATCCATCTCAACTGGAACTCCAATGGTTATTCAAAAAATTGATGATATGATGAAAAAAATTGGATTTCCACCTTACATAATGAATTCATCATCTTTGATAGTATCAGAAAATCTTCATCCAAAAAATTTCCAATATAATTTGACATTTGTTGCTAAAAATAATGAATTTACAGATATCCGTTACTCCAAGAAAATGTATCCGAATGGTTTTGATATAAATATTATACCCAATAATGTTAAAGTTGAATTACTTCCAGATGATCAAGAAATTGTTAGGATTATACACCCTTCAGATGTTTCTAGTAATAAAATGCAGATTAAAATCACAAAATATACAGAAGGTTTTAAAACGACATATAATGAAAAGAATAGAATTCCATTAGCTCAAAAAAAAGTAGCAGAAGTATCAACAAAAAATATACCGATCACTGCAAATTATTCTTCATTGAAATCTGCACAACCGATTTCACAATTTGAGACCGTACAAAAATCTCAAAATCAAAGATATTCAAGACATTCAAGGAATTTTTCTCAACCGATAAATCTTAATTCTACACCTGTTGCAAATGGAATCGTTGATGCCGATATGTTTGACGAACAAAGTAGTTTTGCTTTGCATAGACAACAAAGGCATTCAAGAAATCTTTCTCATCCAATAGATTTAAATACTACAAATAATAACGAACGAGATAGTCTCTCCTCACTTAATCAAAAGAATCAAAGACATTCAAGAAAAATTTCTCAATCGCTAGATCCTAATGCTACACTTGTTTCAAATGAAATTGTTGATAAAGTTCAGCAAGATCGTACCTCCAAACGTAAATCAAAGAGATTATCGTTTGCAGAATCACCAAGTATTATTAATCCAAGTACTTTTTATGAGAAAGAAGGTAATTAATTAAATTTATGATTAATATATACGCGTCTAAAAAATGATGATATTAATGTTTATTTGGTTTTTTTTAGAAAATATTATTTCTGAAGTAATATCAGCAAAAATTGGAAATAATAAAAAAAATAATTATGCTGCCGATATTGGCAATGTTAGCGATGAATCTGAAAATTTAGAAGAATATGAAGAGATTATGAAGACTTTCAATGAAACCCCCATCGAACAACACCAGATGTTTGATTTCAATGAAGATATATTCGTCATTACTGATAATGTGAAGTTCAATGCATATCAAGCCACTATAATGTTTGTAGGAATGATACTATCATATTATTCTGGAAGATTGAGTTGTTATCTCATATAATGTTAATGTGTATAATTTTTTTATCATTTTTTTTTTATATTAATTAATTATATTAATTGATATGAATTTTTTATTTGGATGGAGTGGATTTCTTATAATATAATACTTTTTAATATTTAACCCTTACTTTTATAATTATAATAAATAATAATATGACTAACTTTATTTATACAATAAAAAAAAATTCATTGATAAACAAAATATTTGAATAATTTATTTTTAAAAACGAAAAACAAAAATGTTTATCTTATTCCTAAAATTTTGTAATCATATTATTTGTTACGCTTTAGTTGTCTTAGTTGTCAATGCTTCCTATCTTTATAAAGAGAAACTAAACTTCTTTCATGTCTTGGTATAACTGAAGTGTTGCCATTGATTCTTGGTATTGCATTTATCGATCCTGTTGCAAATAAAACTATAGGAAATCCCTGTGAGGTGTGAGACGACATAATATGGAAATCAATACTAAGATTTTTCAGGGCATAGAAAAAGGTTAGTGGCGCAGCAACCTCAGCAATCCACAGATCACGTGTTGATGTCACGGGTGATCTGAAAATTGGTGTTCTTTTTTTGATATGCAATTCCGAATTTCCGATAATTCCGATAATTCCGACAAGAGCTCTTTTGCACCATAAAAAATATGATCCGTAGGTTTATAATTAATGACAAAGGTCTTGGCATGCGGCTGCAATAATTAAAAATTACAAACAAATTAACGAAAGGAATGCGGACAAACAAAACATTTCGATTATTCAATTGATTCTAATCCCTACATTGTTGTTGCGTTTGTATGAAATGTTATGAAGAACTGTTTCATATGTATTTTAAAAAAAGGAGATTTTTTCTATTTATATTATTATGGATTAATAATCATATCTCTACTATGAGCCTTCAATCCTCCGTTTGGCTAATCCGTCATAATGTTTTAATTTTACTTTAAACTGATATTAACGATAAATAATTTTAAAATGCAAATATTTATTAAAATAATATTTCATCATAATCAACATTACATTAATCATTATCTTATTAAAATCAACAAATTTTAAAATTAAACCAAATTAAGCGGATTTATTCGGATCGTAATACCATTGGATGAGAAAATAAATAATGAGTATGATATGACATTCATGGTAAGTATAGTATGGGTACATATTAAAACTCTATATAGCTGATATTTGACCATACCATATATACATATCATACTCATTATCGTCGTATCGCCGGTATCGGCATTGGGAGACATTAAAATCCTGTTGGACAATGTCCCATACTCAACATTTATTATTAAAGGATTAAAGGTGTCTCGGTGTGCTCCATCCCGAAAAAATTCATTAACTTTAAATGCAAGTGAAAGGTTAGTAATCTTGAGTCTTAACTACAAATACAAAAAGCCGATTGGTAAAAAAAATTGCTTGTCTTATGATAGCTGTACGCGAATCGGCCCAAACCGCTTTTTTTTATTTTTTTTTAAAAAAAAGGCAATTAAAGATATTTAATATAATCCAATTTTTATATATAACTATTTTAAGGTCAATTTATAAATTACATATTTCGCTGTATTTCGAAGATATATATACTGTATATATATATATATTGAAATAATATCAATGGTTACATAACAAGACATGGATTACGTAGTGAAAGAATTTATAAGTAAAAATTATTAAAATTAAAGTTCTTTTATTGTTTTGGTATTATAATAATTACATGTACATATAAATTATAAAGAAAGGAAATTTAATTAACTATAATAAAAAGAAATAATTAAATAATACATGATTCTATTAATTAATATTATTATTCCATTTTAATAACAGTATCATTATTATCATTATTATGATCATTCTGATTTTCATCATTTTTATAATTTTCAACATTTTTTTCAACAGATTCACTGGTATTCGAATTAAATATTTCCTGTAAATTACGAGCTGGAATGGCATTAATATTTACTGTTTCGAAAGGAAGATTTTCTTTTGTGTAAATCCATTCATTTATAGGTGGAATTGGTTCAGAAGTTACATGACTTAATTCACGATTTAATAAACCACAAAAATCATCTAAACCTAAATCATTTTCATCCCACCCGAATGGATTCTCAATTTCACCGGCAATTTTTTCAACCCCAAATAATGTCATTGTAATAAGGAATGTAACGGGAATAGTTAACCATCCAAGATCTTCCAATAATTGAAAAGGTAAACTTAGGCAATAAATCCAAGTTACTTGAGTTAAGTGAATTGCATAGGCTAAAGGAATTGGGGAACGTAAAATTCTTTCGAAGGATGTTAAACATTCAGTTAAACAATTTAAATTAGAATATAAATTACTAATTGTTGCATCATCTGTTGTTTTCTTGACATGTAAACTATGAATATATGATGAAATATATAAAGTAAGTTCGTAAGGTAAATTATGATTAACTTTGCTTTCTGATTTAAATGTAGGTAAAAGATTTTTGAGACTCTTTATAAACTTTCCGCCAAAAGTGCTTGTACTACTATTACTACCAGTTTCAGGAAAATAATCTTCTCCGCTACCAACTAAAACTTGAACTCCAGGAGAATTACTATCACTATTTGAGATAAATGGTTTAATATCATCAAATTTTACTGGCTCTTCACGTAGATAATGTTTTGTAGCAATGGCGAAACCTAAAAGAAGGTTTATAGCGGTTTTCTTTTCTGCCAAATGTTCTGCTCTTTTTTTATCGTCTATAACTTTCTCAGAATCTTCAGCGTTAACGTTTACCCAAATACAGCGTGTCATATTTCTAATAGCACCAACCATTCTCGACCAAGTTCCAAGACCTTCCCAATATCTATCATACGCTGTATTTGTTCTATACGCAAGTAATAAACTCACTACTAAACCAAGTACTGTGATAAATGTTTGTTTCATTCCAAGATTTATTTGTGTTTCTTCGTAAAGGTAAGTAATGATAGCCGATAATATGGTTACAAGGAGCGATTGTGGTAAGACTTTTGGAATAACCGAACCTTTCCAACGGAACATAAATGGACGATGAAAGATGTAAGGGTTATAAACTTTTGGGTTTTCAAATCGCTCAAGAGCATATTTGGCACTTCGTTTCTGCATGATGAATGGATCTTTTAATTGAAATTATTTGTAAAAAGTTGAAAGGTAAAAAGTCGGAAGGTAAAAAATTTGAAATGTCAAATTAATTTATTAATACTTCTTTAAACAATGTTATAAAGAATTATTATTTTATAAAGAATGACAGTTTGCGCGTAATTCTCCTTCCAGAAGAGAATTTGTAGGATATAATAGATATATGTTTAATGAAGTGGGGAATTGGAGAATGATGAATTTAAAAATGTGGATAACTATACGCGTAGAATGTATATATATATTTCCTAGCATAATAAGTAAAATAAAATATAATTATAAGCCATTTTGACTTTTGAGAAGTAACTTGATTAATTAATATGAAACACAATGATAATTGTGTTTGTTGTAAATATAAATACGGAGTCAATCCCCCGATTTAGGACACTTTTATAATAAGGTTTCAAAACCTGATTTGATTGGTTGTTGAATAAATTGTCAAATTAATCGATCAGCATTTTATGATTGTTCAGTTTCACGATTATGGTTATTTTTTTTTCATGTTAATGAATTAGGAAACTTAATTGTTAAGTTTTTTTTTTTCTTTGAAATTTATTCGAACTTCCGATTTGTATTATATTGTTCGCATTCGTTCGAAACCGATTTATTGTTATAATTATTTTTCTATTTCGAGAAGATAATTGTAAAAATAATAGTTAATTTTTTATTTTTTATTTTTTTGAAGAAGAAAGAAGTTCCGTATTCTGATCTTGATTAACATCATCTGTTATAATTAAATTTATTTATTCATAATTTTGTTTGTTTATGTACATAATTAATTATAAAAAATATTAGGTATTCCTTAATATATATATATATATCTTTTTTTTTTTTCTTCTTCGATAAATGCGAAAAATAACGTCACGTTCTTAATTCTATATATAAATTATTAAAATAAAAAAAAAAAATAAATAATTTACAAAATTTTTCTTAGAAAAAAACAATTTACAAAATTTCTTATCAAAAAAAAAAAAGTAATTACTATTTACATAAAAAATTGTACAACTTAAATTATAATTACACATATATATAT